CAAAAGGCAGCTGCCCGTTGAGAAAGAGTGTATCCGCTAAATCAGGCTGACTCCAGTCGGGCGATCGATAGTATGGTCCTGAGTCGTAGATCGAGGGCCTTTACTCATGCAGGTTAAGCAGGTTGAAGGGTCTGATGTTTGAGCTCTTTGAGTGTTCCGAGAATACAGAGACACCTCAGCGCGTACAAGGATTGGCACCGCTTCTCATCAGGACGTGGATGCACCCACTCTATCATTTCGTATAGATGTGGATGCTCGGGGCTTCCGCTAGGCTCTAATTTTGTAGCGTATGTCAACCGAGGCCGATAATATGTCCGATACCCGTGCCTTGATACCTTAAAACAACGCGCGGCGCGTCGGTGGCACCGGTGTTAGGCCCCTCTCACCACTGCCCCCGTCCGTCCTCCAGGTGCTGCTTGCGGCCTCTGATTGGATTTTATCTTGATTTTTATTTTCCCTTTCAACTTCCCTTTCTGTGGGCTGCTTCGGGGTCAAATGGTATCGGGTCTTATCTTGAGATCTAGTTGTCATTGGTTCACTGGATTCTTCCCGCTTCACAAATCAGCCACGTCAAAATGCTATTGGCGGCAGTTTGTGCGGCTTGTTTGACCTGAACCATTGTCCCAGCGCTCACAGACAGACAACTGCTCCATTGGACTTTCTGCGTCTCAATCCAGCCAGTCTTGGTTTTGTTGCTCGCAGTTGGAGAAGGCCATTCCGAAAGGCCCGGCTTGTTGACTGGGTCATGTAATCCGATGGAGAGAGCCTGGCAGTTGCATTACTTGCCGGCTTCTCGTCCGGTGGAACGGATTTGTCAAGATCCCGCACGTTGTCACTACTGCGATATCCTACTGACTCTGAGCCGGCGTGCCAGTGACACCTGAATCACACATTCCCTACTATACTAGCACGTTGAAATGAGCGCAAGAGTCTGACAAGTGAAATCTAGGCGGTGCTGCTGGTCACCAGGTATGCCACAGGACAGAGTGATCGATATCGGCCTTCGACACGTACTGACAATCATTAGGCCCGCGAGTGCCCTAACCGTGGCGCCGCCAAGTGGTATGTTGATGCTCTTTGATCAATCTACGTTACATCTACTGACATTGCATAGCTACAACTGTGGCAGTGAGTTTTCATGCCTGCCCTGATACCAATGACATGACTGACGAATGCCTGCTTTAGACGAGGGTCACATGAGTAGGTCGACGTCCGGATCAGACAACTACTCGTATCTTCTTTACTGACATGATCCAAGGCCGTGACTGCCCTGAGGGCCCCAAGGACACCAAGTCCTGCTACCGCTGTGGCCAGGCTGGCCACATCAGCCGTGACTGCCCCCAGGGAGGCAACGTCGGCGGCGGCGGCGGTCCCTCCAGCTCCGAGTGCTACAAGGTTGGTTTGATCCGCCTCCGAACCTGAGAGTCTTAAGTCGCGATGCTAACGCGTTGGCAGTGCGGTGAGGTCGGTCACGTTGCCCGCAACTGCCCCAAGTCTGGCGGTGGCTACGGCGGCGGCCAAGGCGGCTACGGCGGCGGCTACGGTGGTGGTGGCGGCTACGGCGGTGCCAGCCAGAAGACCTGCTACTCTTGCGGCGGCTACGGCCATATGTCTCGTGAGTTTCGGCCGGACCCATAAATTGCCGTTCCCTCACTAACATTCTCACAGGCGACTGCACCAACGGCTCCAAGTGCTACAACTGCGGCGAGAACGGCCACTTCTCCCGCGATTGCCCTAAGGAGTCTTCCGGCGGCGAGAAGATCTGCTACAAGTGCCAGCAGCCCGGCCATGTTCAGTCCCAGTGCCCCAACAACTAAGTGTGCAACGGCTATCGGCGATGAGTGTTCTGCCTGAATGGTAGTTCGGTTTGGGGACAATTCGACGGCTTCGATGCCCACCGTGGCTCACTTATGCGATCAACTTGGCATTGCGGATGCTTTGTACATTTCCTTTTTTTCTGATTTCCCTTTTTTTTCGTCCTTCTTCCTTGCTCTCATGTTCTCACGGCAAACAACTCTGGGACTCGGCCTGCGGAAAAGTTTTACACGGACAACGGCATATGAATCACGGCTTTTTCTTAACGCACCAAAGATACACCTTTCGCATTTGGTCGTCAACCTCGGCAAAATGCGGGGTTGGTCGGATCGTTTGGATGACGATGGCGGCAACGCTTAGGGGGAACAAGCTTGCGCTGAACCTCTCTCTGGTTTATGAATGAGAGAGAGAAGAGCAGGGTGGGGAGGGCCTCCTCTCAGGCCGGACACCTTTCGACTCTGATAGATATTGGTCGGTTCTGTTGAGCAGCCGGGAAAGGGCTCTCAACACGACCTAGACAGTAGTAGTGTGGGCCGTGCTAAGCGGCCATGGCTGTCGTTCGGGGCAGGGAATGGAAAGTTTGCGTCATACTCAATATTTCCAACATGTGTTTCGCGTTTTCGTCTAGAAGTGATCACAACCGATGATGCTCCACGTGAGACTTTGATGCCACAGCTAAATTGCACCCACCCCCATTAATCCTTTTGAAACCCGTCAGCCACGCCCTTTTCTTCCCGTGTCGTGTCTGAGCCGAAAATCCCGACATGCGTTATAGCAAGAGCAGACAGTTGGTTGGGGTGACTCGTCGGCCCTGCTTGCCCGGAGATATTCTGGGGGGGAGGGGGGGGGGGGGGCAGAGGATGGAAGGAAAAAGCAAAAAGGCAACGGCAGTTGAAACGGCTCCATGGTCCCTTTGCCTACAACTGCCTGCTATTTCGATCCGCGGAGCTTTTTAGACCTGCACGTTCTCACGGAACTGTGGACAATCACAGAAAAGAAGGGGGGGGAAGGGGGGGGTTAGAAGGGGGGGAGAGGGGTAGCCTCGTCTAGTCTTTTAATTCAAGTTCGTTCGCCCTCTCCCACGTAATAGCCGTGATATCCCTGAAACCAAAGGACGAGAAAAAAAAAGGAAAAAAAAAGGTTCTACAATACAACATCGCGAATGTCCCATATAGCCCCCATACGGTCCCCTAGTCTCGGGACAAGAGGTTTATATGTGCGTCTGTGCCGGCCGTGCTGACCACGCCGATGATGACGGGCGGTTTACAACTTCGCCTTGGGCATGAATTTCATGGCCTGCCGGACGCCCAGGTCGCCGAGGACCTCTTCGGCGCCGCCAAGGATGGCGTCGAACTTGTAGCTGCGGTTGAACATCTCGATGACGCGGCCCATGCCGGTCCGGGTGAGGCCGCGGCCGCCCCAGATTTGGACTGCCTCGTCGGCGATCTCGTGGGCGGCGCGGGTCGCGCTCATCTTGAGGAGGCCGATGGGCCCGCCGAGGTGCTTGGCCTGCTCTTTGTAGGGCATCTGGTTCATCTGGTAGGTGATGGTCTCGAGCCAGGACTGGTTGGCCTCGGTGAGGGCGATCATCTTGGCAAGCCTGTCGGGCACAGGAGGCGTCAGCTTATTGTCGTTTGCTCGGTAGAGGTGAGGAGAAGGGCAGGAGGGCTTACTTGAGGCGGATGACGGGCTGGTCGATGAGCTTCTTGCCGAAGACGAGGCGCTGGTTCGCCCAAAGGAGGCACTCTTCGACAATGGTCCGGCACTGGCGGATTGTGGCGCCTGGTTCATCACAGTCAGTCAGTCGGTCCCGATGCGGCTCTGTCTGGAACGGAAAGGTTGCCATCTGTTCGGGGGAAGGGGGGAAATAAGACTTACAAGCCATGGTCCACCGCTCGTGGTTAAAGTTGCTCAGGATGACGTGGATTCCCTTGTTCTCCTGGCCCAGGAGGTTCTCGACGGGGACCTTGACTTTGTCAAAGGTGATGTAAGTCGTACCGGCGGCAGGCGAATAGGACGTCTTGATGGCCTTGGTTTCAACGCCCTCGCCGCGCTCGATCAGGAGGACACTGAGACCCTTGTCGGTCTTAACTCCGGTGACAAAATAATCACAGAAAACACCATTCGTAATCCACTTCTTGCTGCCATCGACGATCTATTTGGTTATTTGATTAGTACAACCGAAGAAGAATTGATGCGGTGGTGGTGGCGGGGATGGCTGGAGGACTCACGTAGTGCTTGCCGTCGGGCGTTTTGGTGGCGGTAGTTCTCAAGCCCGCAACGTCGCTACCAGCAAAGGCCTCGGTGATGGCTAGGCAAATCTTCTTGCGGCCGCTGAAAACCTCATCCGCGATGCGCTTCTTCAGGGAGTCGGAGTTGGCAAAGTTGAGGACGACGGGCAGGCCGATGGTCATGCCGGCCATCATGCCGTCCTGGAAGCCGCGGCAGTTGGTGCGCGCCATCTCCTGGCTGAGGATCATGTCGTGGAAGTAGTCAAACTCCTCGCCCTTGACGGCGCCGTTGAGCAAGTTGACGCCATGCAGGTGCTTGCCGGGGCCGAGGCGCATGTGCAGCACGCCGGCGCGGGACATCTTATCGATGAGCTCCTGGGGGATGAGCTCGCCCTTCTCCTCGCACTCGAGGGCGACGGGGGTGATCTCGCGGTCGGTGAAGTCGCGGATGGCTCGCTGCAGCGAGCGGTGGGAGTCGTTGAAGTAGGGGGACTTGAACTGCGGGGTGAGCCAGGTGGGCTCGGCGTAGGGGACGGCGGAGAGCTCGCCCGGGCCGGCGACGACGACCTGAGGCGTCTCGCCGGCGACGGTGCCGATGACGAGCGTCTTGTCGTACTTTGTCAGGACCTCGTGACGGTGGAGGTTGTAGAAGTCGGCGGTGGCGTCGCGGCCGGCGACCTGGCGGAGGACGGCCTCGCCGCCCGGGTGGCCGTCGACGAAGTCGGTGAGGTCGTAAACCTTGGAGTCGATGATGCACCAAAGGGAGTCCTCGGTGTTGTTTTTGGCGACCTCGTCGCGGGTGAAGGTCTTTGCGGCCATGGCGGCGGGCAACTTGTTCGTCTCTCTTTGTTTGGTCTGGGAAAGGGGTGGAACAGACAGGGTGAAGGGGTACTGGTCTTTGAGCGTCTTGGGGGTGCTCAGGTTGGGAGATTCAATTGTTACAGGAGAATTGCGAGGAGGGGGAGGAGGAGCTGAGGTTCGCAAGTCAAGAATTCAGGAGGGCACAATATGTTTGAGATGGCGGCTACGACTCGGTCAACCGACTACCTAGAGAGGAGAAGCACGGTGTGTGTCGGTTGACATCGGCCTGGGGGGAGGGGATAGGGCGGCAGCCAGCCGTGTCTGGAAGTTGTGCCGCGAGCCTCGGCTCGTGGGGATTGTGGAGGACGCATCCGGGGGAACGTGCTGATATTCGGGGAGATTGTGGTTGGACAGCAGGCTGGGGGAAGGAATTAAGTCTAGCCGGGGGTGGGGTTCGTCGGATCCGAAGCTTGAATGGATAGGTTTGGGTGTGCATTCATTATTGAGCAGGAAGGCGTGTCTAGAAGACTGGAGTTTTTGTGACTGTGTATGGTGTATTGTGTGCCTGTGCGACCTTGAGAGGGACCGCCTTGTACTAGCATCTCAGTAAGAAGACTGGAGGCTTTTTATTTATTTATTGTTCGAATTCCCTAATCGCTTGTTTGCGATGTCTGAAAAGAGCCCCTGTCGACGCTCCCCACAGTGGAAGAAGGAAGGAAGCTTTTACCCCGCAAAGGGGGGTGGGCGCGCATCTCCCGGTACCGCAGTAGCGTAGAGTTGCATCCATTCACGAAGCTTGGGCATGTCCTTTTCGGGGAGGGGGGCCGTCTTGTGTTCTCCCTTGGCTGCTAGGCGATTGCCTCTCTGTGGCTTGCAGAGTGCCCCTGGATAGCTTCGCGCTGATCAGATGGCAAACATCGGGATGGGCCCAACATCGGGTTGCCCACCATCGATGGGGAAGGGCGCCAACATCTCTTTGTCTGCTCTGGGCAGATCGGGCTGCTGGGCAGGAGCCCATTGACAAACAAAGGCCACCTCCATCAGGCCAATTCTTCCCCCTGTAGCCCTGCCCGGGCATTTTTTTGTCTACCCATGCCGGCTTGTAACTCGTCTTGCCCAAGGTCGTCCGTAGCGCTGCCATTGCAGCGTGCGCAGTCGCCTATATCGGTAGGAAGGTCCTCGCTGGCCTGGGGGGGTGCAATGGTGTTCGCTCACGGGCTGGCCCGCATACTAGGGCGCAGATCAAGAGGGATAGGATGAAGGAAAAAAAAAGGGTAAGGAGGGTAGAAAGAAGAAAAATATCTTGAAAGTTTGCTGGCACACCCAGACTCGGCGTGCCCGGCAAGAAGAATCAATTAACCCGGTTCCCCAGGTCGGGTATCGCCACAAGTAGGTAGTTGCCAACCCCCGTTACATAGCTCCACGCCCAAGTAATATCACAAGCAGTTAACACCCTTTCCCCTGCTGCTTCCATGAAAGAAAGGGAAAACCATGTGAGGGAATTACCACACATACCATATAACCTTAGCTTATGCAGCTTACACTTACAAGCCCATGCTAGCGAGCACCTCGCGAGTATCCGGCAAGCAGCCGGTCAGCTCTTTCGACGTCTAGGAAGCGGCCGAGGGAAGGATGCGCCGGAACCTGCAAACCTGAGTCCAGAGTATGTATGCCGTTGCCGAGATTGTAACTAGCCATTGGCAGAACGGGACCCGAGAGAGGACTGGCATGCTAGTTTAGGTAGGCACCATCGTGGCCGTGGGGATGAGGCTCTTGGCAAGGGCTGCGGCGGGAGGGCGCGATGAGGAAGTCGTCATCTTATGGTCGGCAAGAATCGTCACACTACACCGTAGGTATGGATGTCTCTTAGTGTACGTGTACGTGTGCCTAGGTATGTGGTGCGGGGCTAGTGTCGCGGGTCCCACAGGGTCGGTGTCGGTGTCACTTTGTCAGGCGGAATGTATTGATTTCCTTGTCATGCCGTGCCAGCAAGACGCCATTAGATTGGACCTGTGGGCGGGCGCAGTAGGAGCCTATTGGTGCGTGGGTGGCTCGGTTAGTTGGCATGGTTGGGCTCGGTCTCTTTGGATGAAAGGTTGAGGATATCGTCAGCTCCTCTTGTGTGCAGTTTTGGTTAGTATCTCCCCCCCCTTTCTTCTCCTTCTCCTTCTTCTTCTTATCCGGCGCTACACCGAGTCAGTCGCTAGCATTGTAACAGGGTGGGCATAGGATACGGATAGACGTGTTGGCGACTGGGAAAAAAAAAAGAAAAAAAAAACTGTAACGCACAGTGAGATGGCTGAGTTGAAAGGGGAGGGAGGGGAGAGAAGTTGGATGGGGAAGTAAATGTGGAGGAATGACGCCGACAGTGGAGAAGAAGCAGTGAAGTGTCACCGGCCGAGCAACTTAGCGGCTTGATTGCCCCTCCTTCCACACGCTTAGGTCCAGTCGTCGTTTCCTCTCGCATCAAGTCGCAATTCTCGTTCCGATCCACACCTATTCCACCTAGGTATTCAGCAGCACAACAACACTTTTCCTTGTTCCGATCCCGCTCTCTTCCCTTCCTCCTCCGCCCGCTGGCAGAGCCTCTCCCTTACCATACGGATCAGATACGCATCTTGTGTGTGTGTGTATGTCTGTCTGTCTGCGTTTGTGTGGTCTTGACCTTGCCCCGAAGACCCTGACTCCTGTTATCCTTTCCAGGAAAAAAAGACTAAAAATAAAGAAAGAAAATCCTCAAGTGTAGTTGACCGAAACCCAAACCTGCCTGACCAACCAACCAACCAGCCGACCGGCCAACCAACCAACCCTCACCCAGCTGGGCTTCTGTCCTATCTGGACGTTTCTTGTCTGTCCGTTTGATCGCCCGCGCTTTTTTCCTCCTTACCTTCTTTTCTCTTTGGGTTATCGGCACCTCTCCCCTCTCGCTCGTTTATCCCGGATGATATCAAGGCTTAGCGCACGCGGAGTGTCCCCCGCCCGGTCGCCTGTTGCATTGTAAGTCCCTTCTTTTGCCGTTTTGTGCTCTCCCCCCTTTGCCTCTCTCATCGCCCCTCATTCTTTTCCCACTACCCGTTGCGACATTGCGAAACACCGACACACCTTGCGTCATTGCCCCTCCCCACAGAAAAAGAGGAAGAAGGAGATGGCGAAATAAAAAGAAGAGCAAAATGGCATACCGTTGGCGAGCCATGCCCGGGACAAAAAACAAAAGCAGACGCAGAACGCCACATTCCGCCTCTGCGGTCAGCTCAACCCGAGCTGGGTCGATGTGCATGCACGCCCCCCGTTGTTGCACAACCGCCGCTCATCACTCAGCCACCCGCCGGCTTACACGCCCGATTACATGTGAGCCCAGTCGGCAAGACCCACGAGGCACCGTCTTGGGATAGGAGGAGTGACGGGTGAGAATGGCAGTTGCTGCGTCCAACAGCTGCTGCAAGTCAAGCCACCTCCATCTGCAGAGAGAAGACGTGTGTGAAAGGGAGAGGAAGAGAGAGAGAGAGAGAGAGCGAGAGCATGGAAGAGGGCGAGGTTGGGTTTTGAGAACAGCAAACTCTGGACCGACTCGAATGTCGCCAGTTTCTTCTTTCTTATGCCCTTTTGACTCCCCTCCTCCCCCACTTGTCCATTATCAACCTTTCGGTTAGACATGGTACTCTCAAAATGGCACTTCACGTCGCAACCCGCGGGCTATTCCAAGGTTGCTCTGCCCTGCCCTGCCCTGCTCTGCTCTTCTTCACGTTGCAGCTTGTGCGTCTCGGCGCCGCCGATATGAGATGGTCCGCGACACCACACCTCACCTTGGCCGTCTTGCCATGCGTCGCTCTCTATCACTTACCAGATCTTATCTGGACGTCTTGCGCTTATCCTTCTCGGCGGCTGTACCCAGGTTGGCGGGTCCCTATCATCTCCATCTCTTTCCCCCATGATCCCGACCGAAACCCCTTAGCCGTTGAAGACATTTCACTACGTTGCTCGCCATCCCCACATTGGCCCTGCTGCCGCCTCCGCCTGATCTCATTTCCCAACCCCCCCCCTTCTTCAAGTCGGCAATCACTCTTCTTTTTTTTTGCGTTGTCTCACTCGTTCCCGGCTTTTCTCAGAGTCGGTTCTTAACCCAGTGAACTCCCTCACTTATTTAGTCCCCGGACTAGTACGCAATTGGCAGCATCGTGGCCTAGTTTGGCCTCCTTCCCCCCATCAGCCAGCCTCCGTGATCACCCCCATCAAATACAGCCCTACTCTCTTTCTCCCCTGCTTTTCGCCCACATTGCAGCCATGGACGCTTACTCAGTATCTTATACTAGCCCTGACAACCGGAGTACATCTCGCATCTACCAGGACCTTGAATCCTGCCGAGTTCAAGGCCTCCGTGGGACCGGCCGAGACGAGTTGCTGCTCAGATCGTTGACGATGGACTCACTTTCACAGGTAAGTCTGCTTCGGGTCGCGGCCGCTGACTGTCCCCTTTGATGGACGAATTCGTCTTAACCCTTTCCACCCTCACCGACCGTACCCATCCCGTCTTATGCCTCAGGGTACAAGACGATGGAGGCTTGTTATTCTCGTCCAAGCAGTCTGCTCCTGACACGTTACAGCGCAAACAATCCGAGTCGGGCCCCAGACCTCACGTGGGAATCATCGGCGCTGGCCTCGCCGGATTGCGTTGTGCCGATATCCTGATTCAACATGGCTTGCTGGTGACCATCATCGAAGGCCGGGAACGGCTTGGAGGCCGCATGTTCCAAGAAACGCTACCGAATGGACACACTGTCGACCTTGGCCCCAACTGGATACATGGAACCGACGACAACCCCATCAACGACCTCGCAAAAGAGACCGGAACCGCGGTCGGCCGCTGGGACAATCGGTCGTATGTGTTTGATGAAGGGGGGGAACTGTTCGATTTGGACGAAAGCGAGGTCTACTCTACCATCATGTGGGACATTGTCCAAGATGCATTCAAACATTCTAATAAGAACTCGGCCGATATTCATCCCGACGAGAGTCTATGGGACTTTTTCCAGCACAAGGTAGTCGAGAAGATCCCCGACACCGACGAGGATCACGCCAGGAAGCGAAGCATCGTTCTCCAAGTTGCCGAGCTTTGGGGTGCGTTTACCGGAAGCCCGATCGAAACCCAAAGTCTCAAGTTTTTCTGGCTGGAAGAATGCCTCGACGGCGGTAAGTCACCCTCTGCCACAGATCTTCCAGACTTGCGTGGCCTGCAACTCTCGGGGGGATAGCCGTGGTTGACTTGTGGAAGAAAACCTATTCTGCGCCGGCACCTACGAAAAGATCTTGGAGAGAATCGCGGAGCCCGTGAGGCACAACGCGGATATCAAGTACGATACCCGGGTGACCAAGGTGGAGCTGAAAACCGCGGACCGTGAGAGGCCAAGGGTTCACACAAACACCGGCGAGATCTTTGAGTTTGACGAGGTTGTAATGACGGCGCCTTTGGGCTGGCTAAAAAAGAACCTGCAAGCGTTTGATCCGCCGTTGCCCGACAGAATCGAGCGAGGTATCCAGGCCATCGGCTACGGCTGCCTCGAAAAGGTTTACATCAGTTTTCCCAGAGCGTTTTGGCTCGAACCCGACAGCAAAGGCCGAGTAGTCCAAGGCTTCTGCCAATGGCTAGCGCCAAATTACACACCAGAGACGAACCCGAAGAGGTGGAACCAGGAGATTGTCGACCTCGCATCGTTGGGCAAGCATTCACACCCGACGCTGCTATTTTACATCTTTGGGGACGAGTCAAGATACATCACGGAAGAAGTGGCCAAGCTGAAGACGATACCGGAGAGGAACTACTTCCTGTACGATTTTTTCAAGCCCTACTATTCCCGGCTGCCGCACTACGACGAGACGTCGCCCGACTGCAAGCCCAAGGGGTGCCTGTCGACGGACTGGATGCGAGACGACCTCGCGGGAAACGGCAGCTACAGCAACTTCCCCGTCGGGTTGACAGAGGGCGACAAGGATGTTGAGGCGATGCGGAACGGCGTACCGGAAGGCGGCCTGTGGCTGGCCGGCGAGCACACGGCACCGTTCGTGGCGCTAGGAACGGCGACGGGGGCCTACTGGAGTGGTGAGAGTGTCGGCCTGAGGGTGGCTGAAGCCTACGGCAGGGCGAGCATCACTAATGTCCAGGCCGGCGAGGGGCAGTAGGCAGACGGGGGAGGTTGGTTGGGTCGTTGGCCGGGCCCCGGTGAAGAGCGAGCGGACCATGCTCTTCATGTGATTGCGAAGATAAACTACCAGCCACCGGGGGACGGGGTTGTGGCCATAACATCTGCCAGCTAAGCCTTGGGGCTGCATTCTCTTCTGTTTTAGACGGACCCAACGGCCAAAGATAGTCATCCGATTCTCCAACATTTATTTACAGCTTAATTCTTTCCTTCCGGGGCTTAGAGAGTGCACCTCACACGTGTAGAACCCGGGGCCAAGCCATCTCACAAACCTGTCGGGAAGAATAGGCAGGCAGACATCTGTTGCTTGCCAATGTACTGCGTAAACACCACTGGGCTGCGAAGCTGAAACACTTTCCGTCTCTCTCTCACACTCTCTCGGATGAAGTAGGCAGGTAGTGAAAACCCTTTGAAATGCAAGACACTTGCCAACAAGACAAACGCTCGTCTTTGTTCCTCGAGTGTTGTGATTGTGGGGGAGGGGGGGCTGAACTCGGACAAAGGGCATTTCCAACGGCTCCTCACATACATAGCCAACGTCATTTCAGGCAGCTTTCCATGCAGATTGGGAGGGCCACTCGAATCATGTAACGTCAACAAAGTTGGGCAGTCTTGCAGCGTGGTAAGAGCGTTGCGATGCAAATAGGGGAGCGGTATGTGCATGTTATTTGTGTTCAGCCCTTGTTTAATACAAAAGGTAGTCATTCGTACATATCTATGCACAAACATTACAGACGCCAAAGAGAGAACAGCTGTGCCCAGCCGACAGACAGACAGACAGGCAAGGCAGATAGACACTGATAGCCAGGGCTGGAGATGTGCAAAGCATGGCTGATTCTGCATCAATCAGCTGGAACGGGACGCACGGTTCACTGCATCATCGGAAGAGCACAAGAGACATTCCTTAGCGTGCAAGGGCCCCGGGCCTCTCCTCTCGAATGGTGTTTCCATCAGACCCAGTCACAAGTACCTAACGTAATGTGCCCCCCTCACAAAGCAAACCGTCCTATCGGCTTCAGCCACGGTCATTACACTCCTGGCATCTCCCCTCCCTCCCCCCTTATCGATAAAGACCTTATGTACCACCAAGTCAACTGATACATACAATGTAGGTAGGACCCCTGTGCACCCTGTTGGTGACGTGAACCCAGCCAGAGTCACGCGCTGTGAGAGCTTGTGGGGGGGAAACAGTCTTTAGTGCATCTGGTTGTGTCCATGCCCCCTCTTATTCTTATGCCTCATGCCCCCCCCTACCACCATCTACACGTCTCCGGCCCAGCCCAGTGCCGGCCTTGCCTTGCCTCATCATCACACACGTCCAGGCCATACATACACTACTGACTGTTTGCACAAGGTTGCCCATTACCGTTACTGTCACCTACCAAAAGGGGTACCCGCCCTACCTGCCCTGCTCGCCTGTACCTTACCTTACCTCGACTGATCTTTAGTTCGCCTTCGCCCATGACTAGGTAACTGCAATTACACTTGGTTAGGCTCGTGGGTTTCCCGGCCTCTCTCTCTCTCTCGCATACCTGCCTCTTACAACTCCAACAACCTTAACCTCCCGGCCCCCTCCCATTCAGCCTGGCGCTTCCCTACTCGCCCTTCACCTTGTCCTTGGCCTACTTTCTGTTGAATCCACACACTCTCTCTCTCTCTCTCTCTCTCTCTCTTTCTCTTGCCCCCTTAGCGAAACCCTATCTTTGGATGACGAACACACCATGAACAGCGTCCCCGCCTTGGGCCGGGTGTCTTCTGATAACACGGTGACTGCAGACTGCGTCAACCACCCCCGGTGAACTGCAGCCTCTCCGCTTCGCTTGGAGACGAGCGCCGCATGTTCCTTCTGTTGTAGCCTGAGGAAATAATTCTGGCTATATCTACCGTACCTTCGAGCTTCTCTCCTCCGAATCCTTTTCCGAATCCCCGAACCGATCTATCCATCGAATCAACTCATCATCTCTCTCACGAACCGAATAACCCACCCTGGGTGGGGGATACCGATTCCATCATGGCGACGATTTTCCAGAGCTTCCGAAGCTCGACCTTGTCGAAGCGCCTGCTCATCTATGCCTTGCGGCGCCTAGAGCTCCTGGATGAGGAGACGCTGGACATGGAGAACCTGCAGTTCGCGCTCGGCAGGACAACAACCGCTGAGTTCAAGGACGTTGGAGTGCGCCTCAAGGTACGGCCCGGTACGGCGGTCGACCGTTTTTGCCTACATGTCTATTGCCAAGTAAAGTGACTAACACGACAGTCAAATTTCTAGAAACTCGAGCAACTGCTGCAGCTCCCTGTCGAGTTCCGAATCCAAAAAGCAAAAGTGCTAAAGCTTAACGTCACCATCCCCGTCGACTTTTACACGAGCCCTATAATCATCGAGATCGACGGTGTCGACGTGCGGTTGAAGGTGTCCACCGCCGGCGAAGACAACAAGGCGGCGGCGGCGACGACGCCGAGCGAAGACTCCACGGCAGTCCCCAACTCTGTCAACCTCGCCGAGTCGTTCCTGAATGACGATACTGCTTTGAAAGATGTCAAACTGGCCGAGGAGAAGAGGAGGCTGGAGGATGCTTTGGCCGCCGAAACACAGGACCTTGGCGGCTCGACCATGAGTGAGAGCTCCATGAGCGACGATGGCAGTCAGTTCGGTACAGGTCAGGCACTATCCCTCCCCGGCTTTCTAGCCGGCTTCCTTCAAGGCATCGTCGACCGCATCCAGGTTCGCATCCGAGGCGTCACCTTCCAGTTGGATGTTGAGGTCCCCGTCGAGCCAGATTCGACAACACCGGAGCTCGTTACTTTTCAGCTCGCTCTTGACCGCATAGATGTAGAGGGCGTCACTGCAGAGGCGCACAACGACGAGGGTGCGCCCACAATAGTCCCCAAGGACGGGAAGCGCCACATCGCCTTGTCCAAGATCCGAGCCTACCTGATCTCGGAAGCAAACGTCTTTTCGCAGTTTGCGCGCTCTCCCTCGGTTTCTTCACCCGCCGTCTCACAGTCTCCATCGTTCAGCGAGCGCGCTTCCGCGTCGAGGCACAGCGCCTTTCGGCCGACTATGCAAGACAGCTATCTCACAGACTCGGCGGATCTCTCCGAGGTTGACGATGCGCTTCTGCAGGACAGCGAGGATGCGTTCAACATTCCGTATGACTTCTCGAGCCAGCCAGAGGAGCCAGTAGAGGAGGAAGAAACGAATACACCTAGAGCATCGATATACCAGGACTTCTTTCCTCGAGCACATGTTCCCATCTCCCAGTCGACCGTCTTGGGGAACGAAGATCGTGCTTCTCCCTGGGCCAGCTTCCAGAGGGAAGCGAGATCAGAGCCTTCGCTCCAGCCCATCGAGGGCGTCCGGCCAGCCGACCTGCTCGACTTTGGAACACCTGAAGCATCACATCACTCTATCGCCGCAAGTCAACATTCGAGCCCTGAAGGAGGCGAGGATCTGGCACAGTCCCACCTGTTTACCCACGAGGAGGCCGAGAGCATGTACATGAGCGCCTTTTCCCAGGCCGAACCTCAACCCGCCGGATCCAGAATGCCAGGGGGATGGGATGCCGATTCGAGCCCAGGAACTTCACCCAAAGCAGAGATAGCGAGCCTAGTACCGCGCCAACCGTCGCCACCGGCCTTCGAAGCAGCCGTGAGCATGCTCGATTCAGGGAACCATCAGTACTCGGACGCGCCAGTCCCTTCTCCACCAAATGCACCGTCGTCGATAGTCGAGTCGGACTCAAAGTTTGAAGACGCGAGAGAACCGAAAGTGTCTCCGACAATGGTCCCCGAAAGCGACGACGTCACAGAAACGCCTGTGCAGGCAGACGATGTGGCAACTCCAAGGGGACCGACCAGACTAGTAAAGGAACTCGTATCTCTCCAGAACATATCACTGTACATTCCCTCGCTCCACCAACACATGCATGTGCCAGCCGACTCTCAAGCTTCGATTTTGATCCAGAACCAGGCGTCGCTTGGTCTCGCTAGATCAGTCGCGCCACAAGTCCCGGGGGCCTTCTCGGTGTACTCTACATCAGGACTGAAGTCGAGCTTTGTACCGAGGGAGCCGGAAGCCGTCATGACAGAGCCAGACAGTGATAGCCTTTAGTTTTAAGTTATTTACTCTTTTAATACCTTTTATTTTATTATTTCTTTTTATAATAATCATTAGCAAGCTGTTGGATGCACTAAAGAGCAAAGGTTCCACTACCCCTGCTTCCAAGACGACCGAAACCGTAAAGCCACAACAGGCATCCACAGTACCTGACATCAAAGTGGCTTTTGAAAAGATCTCACTCCATTTCCTGCACCAACTTGGCGGCGTTGCCGACACGGCGGAAAGAATCCTGGGCTCCCCAGGTTTGCAGATGCAGCCAGAGATCCTTCTCCGCACTGATCTCGACAACCTCAGCATAACCCTCAAGAATTCCAAGAAGGCGCTGGAGACGACCATGGATCTTGAGAAATTCCGCTTCGGCTACGCAAGAGATGATATCATCTCATTTGACCAAAGCCTTCAGATGCGGGCCTCCGTCATGGACAAGTTCCCATCAGTTGGCTCAGATGTATCTGTCAAGGTGATAAAATCATCTGACTCGATCCGGACAGAAGTCACGACCTTGCCACTGCTGGTCCAACTCGACCTACAAAGATTGGACGAGACTTTTAGCTGGTTCGGAGGCCTGAGCAGTTTTCTTAACATGAGCTCCTCCATGTCATCGAACGCGTCCCCGTCCGCCAAGCCGCCGGCGCCAGCGCCCCCAAAGCCCCGTGGAGTTCGCTTCGACGCTCCGATCAATCCCGACGACAAGTCAGCGTCGGCCGAAAACAAGATTGACATGCGGATAGGAGGGTTTAATCTCGAACTGAAGGGCAAGGAGTGCAGTATTGGTTTGGAGACAAGTGCTGTCAAAATGGTGAGCCGAGAGCTGGGCATCGGGTTTGCAATCAGCAAGGTTCGACTTGCCGGACCCTACGTGAGATACTCTCGAAGCGACCCGCCCATATCGGCGGACATTGGAGGTGTACGTTTCGAGTATCTAGCGACGCCCAAGGACAAGGATCTCGAGAGGCTTCTGGAGCTCATCATCCCGTCCAAAGTCAAGTTCGATCAGGGCGACGATGAGATCATGGTGGACACTCTCCTTCGGCAACGACGCAAGGGTGGCGTCCTGCGAGTCACTTTCGACCAGCTCAACGTCAGGGTTGACCAGATGCATCAGCTAAACTGCCTGCCCGCCCTGGGCGAGGAGGTTGCACGACTGGCAACCGTTGCCAAGTATCTCCCTGAAGACGATCGTCCTGGCATTCTGCTCTTGGCCGAGGTCAAGGAGCTGGGCGCGGTTCTTGATTCCGGCGGAAGACTTGGTGTTTTCAACACGAACCTCAAGAACTTTGAAGTTGCTCAGATCACGGTGCCCTCGTTGGTGGCATTCGGCGTCCATGCCATCTCCGTGAATCGCAACCACCGAGAGGACCTTGTGAGTTCGTCGACGACGTTGCCGCCCGGAACGCTCACCCAAGGCCCCGTGCTCATGGTCCGCATGATTGGGGATGAAATGGAGCCTGTCATCAAGATAAAGATGCGCGATGTGACGATCGACTACCGTGTGCCAACGATCATGGACGTGCTGGGGCTCGCGGAGGATGCCACGCCACAAGACTTCGAAGCCAGCCTTGCCGCTTCTGTGGCCAATCTCGGCGAGCAAGCACATACTGTCCTAGCTGGGAAGATGCCTCAGACCACCAAACTACCGCCAGATCCTGCTCGACCCAACAGTAAGCCAATGACGGTCGACTTGGTTCTTCGCGATTGCCTGGTCGGTGTGAACCCCCTTGGTCTCCCCTCGAAACTTCTCATCGCCTTGACTGATGCTCGGCTTCAAGTGGTGCTGCCAAAAGATGTGGACACCACGGCAAAACTGGACCTGAACAAGGCCTCCATTCTGCTCATTGACGATGTGGCTAATATAGGTGCGAGCCCTACTGTGAACCGCCGGCAGTCGGCAGACATGTCGTCCCAGCAGGTCTCGCGACTTGTCGCTCAAGGCTTCGTGAGCATCTGCTATATATCCTCGGCAAAAGCAGTCGTAAAGGTGTCGGAAAGCCCAGAGGAAGGTGAAAAGCATGTCGATATCGAACTCCGTGATGATCTGCTTGTACTGGAGACGTGCGCCGACTCGACGCAGACCCTCATCACCCTGGCCAATGCGTTGACGCCGCCCACTCCGCCCAGCAAGGAGAACAAGTACCGAACCTCAGTCGTTCCAGTGCAGGACCTCTTGGCTTCGATTTCGGCGGAGGCGTTCGGCAGGGCAGAAGGCGACTACGACTTTGACAAGGACTTCGAGCTCGCGCAAGAGCTGGGCGGCAGTGATGAATACGATGTGGCGAGCGACGCCAGCCCTCTCCAAATCGACTCGCGCTACTATGAGGATGCCGGCCCGTCGGAGCCACTCTTTGACGCGGAGGGCTCCATAACGTCAAATGCCACGACGACCCAAGATACACACGACGGCGTACTGCTGACCAGCTTCAACGCTAGTGCATCCCACCATTCGGATGACGGTAGCGACCTGGTAATCCACGAGAACTTCTTCGATAAGGGACCAGAGACCGACGGTAGAGCCCAGGTCTGGAACTCATCCAAGAACAGCTATGACAAGGCACCCAAGGAACTTGTCGGGCGCAGCCCACTTCGAGTCTCAATCCGTGACGTGCACGTAATCTGGAACCTGTTTGACGGATACGACTGGGAACGTACGCGCGATGTTATCTCAAAGGCCGTGCAGGATGTCGAGAATAAGGCCTTTGAGCGCCGCCGGCGATCGGACCGCGCTGTGTTTGAAGACGACGCTGAGGAAGACGAGACTGTCATTGGGGACTTCCTCTTCAACTCCATCTACATTGGTATCTCGACCAAGCAGGATCCCCGAGAGCTTGCGCAAATGGTCAACCAGGAGTTGAACGACAATGCCACCGAGACGGAGTCTCTCGCAACCACCGCTTTCACCACAACGACGAGTCGCGCGGGAGGCGCCAGGCCCAAGAAGAGGCTGAGACTGAACCGAAGCAAGCATCACAAGATCACATTCGAGCTGCAGGGAGTCAACGTGGATCTGATCGCCTTCCCTCCCAACTCTGGTGAGACGCAAAGTTCTATCGATGTGCGAATCCAAAACCTCGACGTCTTTGACCACGTCCCCACCTCGACCTGGAAGAAGTTTGCCACGTACGACCAAGATGCTGGTGAGCGAGAGATGGGTACCAGCATGGCCCACTTGGAACTGCTGAACGTGAAGCCCCAGCCGGACCTTGCGGCCTCGGAAATGGTACTGCGGGTCACCGTGTTGCCGCTGCGACTCCACGTCGACCAAGACGCCCTCGACTTCATCACCAGATTCTTCGAGTTCAAGGACGACAGCGCTCCTGTTCATAGTTCGAGCAGCGACGTGCCGTTTCTTCAGCGTGTCGAGGTCCACGACATTCCCGTCAAGCTGGATTTCAAACCCAAGCGAGTCGACTATGCAGGGCTCAAGTCGGGCCGCACCACGGAGTTTATGAACTTCATCATTCTGGACGAAGCACGTCTGACTCTGCGGCACACCATCATCTACGGAGTCTCAGGCTTTGACAGGATGGGCAAGATCCTCAACGATATATGGATGCCGGACGTAAAGGGCACACAACTGGCCGGGGTGCTCGCTGGCCTCGCGCCGGTCCGCGGCATCGTCAATATTGGCAGCGGTTTCAAGGAACTCATCGAGGTGCCCATCAAGGAATACAAGAAGGACGGCCGCATCGTCCGCAGCATCGGCAAGGGTGCAGCGGCGTTCGCTCGCACCACGGGCACGGAGATGGTCAAGTTTGGAGCCAAGCTAGCCATCGGGACGCAGTACGCGCTTCAGGGTGCCGAGGGTCTCCTGAACAAACCGCAGGCCGACAACACGTGGGAGGATGCGGGTCTCGACCCAGAGGAGAAGAAGCAGATCTCTCTGTACGCGGATCAGCCGACTGGCGTGATCCAAGGGCTGCGTGGAGGCTACTCGAGCCTGACAAGAGACCTCAACATGGCCCGCGATGCCATCATTGCGGTGCCGGGCGAAGTCATGGACAGCCAGAGTGCGCAGGGTCTCGCCAAAGCAGTGTGGAAGCGGGCGCCCACCATCATCTTCCGGCCGGCCATCGGGGCCACCAAGGTGATCGGACAGACATTGATGGGCGCAACAAACAGCCTGGATCCGCAGAACAGGCGCAGAGCCGAAGAGGTGAGTCGTCCAGTCGCGCGGGCCTCTCGACGGAAGACGATTTGCTGACTTTGAAGCAGAAATACAAGCGACACTAGACCCGTTTTCCAGTGCTAAGAATTGCACACGAATAAACATACCGGATACCAGGAACCAGTCATTGAAGGTGTTTCTTTCTTTTCTTCCCTCTATTTCCGTCCCGAATTTGATTTTACGGGGTTTGTTGTCTAGGAAGACGACGACGATGACGACTCCCATAAGACTGCATAAGACTGCATCATAGACTGGCGAAGGAGGGCACGTCTTTTCTCTCTCTTTTTTTCTTTCTATCTTCTTCAGACACCAAGCTGAGATTTTCTACACTGCAAGGACACCAGGAGACGCCATGCCACCCGTGATATCTTGCATGGCTTGTTGCACCCTGGGAACTCGACTTGCTTCATTGAGTTGGCTTAGGGTTATCGGAGGAGTCGGACGGAAAGGCTTTCTTTTTTCTGTAACCAACTACTTGGTGTACCTAGGGTAAGAAAGAATGGTGGACTCTACTTTCTCCCAAGATTGAACCAACTTTACGAACTGACTGATTTGTACTGAATTGAGAAGCGGTGATGTGGAAGATTGGACAAGCAAACGTGAAGCGGGCTCAACAAGCAGCAAATGTAACTTTTTGGACAATTTCAATAAGGCAATTAAATGGCCCACGTCTCGACGAATTGGATAGTCTCCGCGACGAATATCGGAGTTCCTTGGGCCAGACACTCGGAACTCAAGTCCCCACTTGCGTGCTCTGAGGCATGTGCTGGGCTAGGATTGAGAGGGGGGGTAAGGACACGCCATTGGATCCATCGTCCGATCTACATGCTGGTGTTTCCAAGGGAGGGTGAGGAATAACCCTGTAAGAGAAGAAACAACCGGCCCTAAATGCAACCAATGCTGGACAAAAAAAAACACACACACCAAACGAAACAAAAAGGTGAAAGTGGTCTGCAACTCTGGGAATGTTGGGAAATACACGTGCTTCAGACTGGAGAGACTAACGGCAGGGCTGATGCGAGGAAATCACATCACTTGCGCCTCTCACAATGCGAAGGCAGACGGAAGGGCTATACCTACGATAAGGTGGCGCGTCTGTTCCTGGATTCTACGTCAACCTGAATGGGCTAATCTATGACCCTTACATTTGCAGAAGCCCCATCTGAAGGGAGCGGAGTACCGTCGTAGGGCGAATTGCACCACCACCACCCCCCCTCCTCTTTCGACATGGACAATCTCTCAATGCGCAATGCTAATCCATGCGCGAAAAGAGTGGGAAAGATACAAGGAGGGGGGGGCAGAGTCGGAGCACCCGGGATTGTTCTTACATGCATACCTTACCTCGGCGATATCGATATCGATGTCTAATCCCGATGGCGTCATCATCGAAGCACTGGCCGATCGAGATTCCTCACCATTTATCAGCAAACCGCGTTCCTTCCCGCTTCGGATTAGGATGGGAAATGATCTCGGGTGTGGAAAGTTCCTATTTCGGGGTGGGCTTAGGCTAGTTTACCAAATCTTTCCCAATCGCGTCGTCCAATGCCACATCGCACAGATGACTCGTGGGTTGTTTTCCATTCGGGGGGGCCATTTTTTTCTTCCTTATTTGCTTGTTCGTTGACCCTTTTGGAGCCAAATTGACATGGACTCCTGCAACGGGATACTAGCTCAATCTTCAAGACCATTTCTAATCTTGTGAATCGTCTTTCTCATTCTTCCCTCCCTTTCTCTTCCACTTCCCCTCCTGTTCCACATACACACACACACACACACACGCTCTCTCTCTTTCTCTCTCCCCTCTCCCATCTGCCCACTCTAAGTTGAGCTTCGCATACCCCGGGATCAGAGACACGCGCATACACGCACGAGTCTTGTTTACAGAGGAAGCCTTCCTGTCGACAACTAACATCCCGGCCGACCCAATATTCAAACCCTGCATCTTTCTGTCACATCGAGCATCTGTCTCTTCTCCCTGACAGATCTACCCCGCCTCCACCACCGGAGTCTGCCCCGCCAAATCTACGTGTGCCCGCGCATTCGTAGTCCGCCGCCGCCGCTGTTGTCGTCGTTGTCGTCATCGTCGCAAGCAACAAAGCAGCATCACTTAGGCTCGTGACTTACAAGTCACAGTCGCAATCATTGCTTCCACCGCCAATATGTCGGACGGTAGGCGTGCCGTTGATTCCGACAAAGGTTTGTGGTTTCCCTTGCTACCTTTCTATCCACTCTCACTCTGACCCTCGTCACTTGCTTGTTGGAAGTTTCCCCGCCTCGCATGTTTCTGCTTATCGGCCCATCGTCGCGAACCATACGCGCGACTTGAACCAAGCTAATCCCTCCCCCGCGCGCGCACAGTCTGGACAACCCTCATAACCAACCTCGACTACCTGCCCGGCCTACTCACCCTCAACTACTCCCTCGTCAGGTCCGGTTCGGCGTACCCCCTCGTCGCGCTCTACACCGACACCTTCCCGGCCAAGGGCCTCGCCGCCCTCGAGCGCCGCGGCATCCCCGCGCAGCGCATCGAGTACCTGCTCCCCACAAAAGGCCGCGACTACTCCAATGACCCGCGTTTCTACGACTGCTGGAGCAAGCTTTCCCCCTTCTCTCTGACCCAGTACGCCCGCGTCGTCCAGCTCGACTCGGACATGCTCGTTCTCCGCAACATGGACGAGCTCATGGACCTCCAGCTCGACGATGGCGACTTCGCCGCCGACCAGACCCCCGGCGCCGCCATCGGCGGCAGCCCCCGTTCCCCGACCCTCGACGACCTCGCCGTCAAGAACCCGAGCACCCGCGTCTTCGCCGCCGGCCACGCCTGCGTCTGCAACCCCCTCCACAAGCCGCACTACCCTCCCGATTGGACCCCCGACAACTGCGCCTTCACGGCGCAGCACGCTAATCCCCATGCCGCCCAGCACACCGCTCCGGACCCCGTCTCCCAGTCCCCGCTGGGCTTCATGAATGGCGGCCTGCAGGTCGTCAACCCGTCCCGCCGGCTGTTCGAGCAGATCGTTCGCCACATGGAGCAAGGCGCCATGGATATGGACTTTGCCGACCAGAGTCTGCTGTCGGACCTCTACCGCGGCCGCTGGGTCGCACTGCCCTACGTCTACAACGCGCTCAAGACAATGCGCTGGCCTGGCGTGCACGACGCCGTCTGGCGCGACGCCGAGGTCAAGAACGTCCACTACATCCTCGCCCCCAAGCCATGGGACGAGATCGACCCGCGGACGGGCGAGTGGACGGGCACCGACGAGTCGCACCGCTGGTGGGTCGACTACAACAGGGAGAGGAAGGCCAAGGAGGAGGCGAGGGGCATCGAAGACGAGTTTTGAGGGCAACCCTGCGAAAATGTGTGCATGCGCGCGCGCATGTGTTATTTTGGTTTGGGGTTGGGGGCCGGGTGTCAAGAACTAATACGAGGATACACAACAGGCTCGCTGCCATGTCTCTTTTCAGGGGTGGGAAAGGGTGTTTTTTCTCTTTTTCTTTTTCTTTTTCTTTTTTTTTCCCTTCCCCGTCTTCATTGCTTTGGGGGGGGGGGACCGGGGCTTTTTGCATCAATGGTTTAAGAGGAAAGGATATTCTAGACACTCGCGCCCGATCGAGGGCCGGCCCATGGGATTAACCGAAATGAATACCCCAGGTATCGGTTGACCACGCTGAGCATCGTCATCCTTCGCGCATGTGCATGCAGGGAGACTTAAATTCAAACAAGGGACGTGGAGGGGCTAAATGTGCCCAGAAGCCACAAAACAACGCCGGGGTACCTATCCGTTCAGTAGTATCCGCCTCAAAAACGCCTTCAAAGCTCGTCCGTGTCGTCTGTGTCGTAGATGAAGACCGACGTCCTCTTCTGGTCGGCTTCGATCTCTGGCTTGACGGCCTCCTTCTCTGATTTAATGGCCTCACTAGTCTCGGCAGGTCCCTGGTTGACCACGTCCTTCTGCGTATGGACGATACCGGCCTCGTCTTCGTCCTCTTCCTCGGTCTCGGCATCATTATCGACAATCACTAGGCTGTCTTTCGTCTCCTCGACCTTCGTCTCCGGCTCGTTTTTGAAACCACCCTCCGGCTTCTGAACCTCCTCCTTGACAGCAGCGGCGGCAGCCTGCTCGGCCTCAGTCTCGGCCTTGACAGTCTCCTCGGCCAGTAGCTTGCCCTCGCGGATCTTGTAGAACGCATCGAGACAGTTGCGCCTTTGGGCCTGCGTCCAACTGCCGACGACCAGGGCGAACTCGATCGCGGTTGCGAAGCCAAACTCGCGCGCCATGGAGCAAAACTGTCGCCGCATGACATCCTCGGGGGGGTTGTAAACGTACGAGAATCCCTTCAGCTTCTGTGCCTGTGCATCAAACGCCTGGCTGTCCGCGAACAAAGCGCTGTCGCCCTCTCCGTCGACGTCGGAGCTGGCCGCCATCTCCGCCTTGCGGGACAGCTGTTCCTCGACCTTGGATGTCCCAATCACCTCCGAGTTTTCGTGAGTGTACTCGACGCCTGCGGCCGACAGGATGGCCTGGACGGCATCGCTCTTTGCTTGCTGCGTTTTCGCAGAGTCGCCGGCCTTGGTGTTCTTCCCGGCCAAGAATGCGGCAAGCTGGCTCATGTCGCCGTCCTCCGAGCCGGCAGGGTCGCGCTTCAGGGCGCCAAGCTCTCCCTCATGCTCCTCCTCCTTGGCGAGCTTCTCCATGTCGACGGTGGTCATGGCGATGCCTGTTCCTGCTTTTGCTTCGGCAATGTTGGTCTTGTTGACGATGTCACGAATCACGAGCTGGTTTTCGCGATACGTGAAGAGGTTCTCCAGGCCGAAGATCTCCCCCTTGCGTTCAGAATCCTGCTGCACACCTTTGAAGTACCGCCGCTCGGACGATGCTGTATAACCAATGTTGGCCTGCTGCTGCTTGTAGATCTGCCTGGCGTAGACAATCTCCTCGATGGTCCCTGTGGACACCAGGCGGAAGACATCGACGTCCCGGACCTGGCCTATTCGATACGCTCGGTCTTGGGCCTGAAGATCGTACGATGGGTTCCAATGAGGGTCAACAATGACAACCTTGTTTGCAGACGTGATATTCAGGCCTACACCACCGGCCTTGGTCGAGATGAGGAAGACAAACTGGGTCGGGTCGGAGTTGAAGTCATCCACGGCCTTTTGCCTGTCCTCGTAGGAGACAGAGCCATCCAAATACGTGACACTGTAGCTGGTGTTGTGAAACAGGTGCTGTAGAATCCGAAGCAGGCGGACGCTGTGGGAGAAGACAAGGACTTTGTCGCCGCTGTCGTGCCAGAACTTGAGAAGCTTCTTCAAGACCTTCCATTTCCCACAGAACTCGGGGTTGGCCAGGTTCAAGATGGCATCTCTGTTCTGGTAGAGGTATTGCCACGTCTCTGGGCAGCAGGTCTGGAGTGCGCGAATTTCCCTCTTGTACTTGTCATCTTGGTCGCCTCCTCCTGCAGGGATGAGGAGAGTGAGGTGGTTCGATAGCTTCTGCAGGGTTGTGACGCAGGGAAAGATGATTGACTGCCACGATGTTCCGTCCTCGAGCGTCTTCCGACAGCACCATCCCTGGCCAGTGCCCGAGCCACATTCGCAGGGGTCCGAGAGGGTGCGGAGAAGCTCCACGTCAGGCCTACTGATGAAGTTCTTGTACGCCTCCCGTTGTTGGTCGGTAAGCGGGCAGAAGACGACTCGGTCGCTCTTCTTGGGTAGCTGATGGGCTATCAATGTTTTCATACGGCGCAGGAAGAAGCCGGGAAGCAGGTTAGTGACAAGCTTTCTGGCAGTGATCCTGGCGTCTCGTAGCTGACCCAAGGTCGCATCGTGGGACTGGCCTCGCGTCAGGGGCTTGGTGATGGTGTTGTTCCATTCGCTCAAGGTGCCGAAATGGCCTGGATTCGTCCAGTTCAACAAGGTCCAAAGCTCTTCGTACTTGTTCTGGATCGCGGTGCCCGTCAAGCCAATACGGCAGAGCGCGTTGATGTCGTTCATGGCCTTGGTGACCTCGGAGCTTCTTTCCTTCATTTGATGGCACTCGTCGGCGATGACGGCGTCCCATTTGACCGTGTTGACCAAGCTCTTGTGGTTCTTGTAGGTCGTGTAAGTGGTGATCATGATTTCCGTCCGTCCGGCCTTGGCCGTGGAGAGTACATCCTCTTTCCCTGCGCCATGGAAGACGTCGACCTTCCACCAACCCCAGCGATTCAGTTCGTTCTTCCAGTTTTCGATGATGGATCCTGGGCAGATGATCAGGATCCTCGGGTACCAGCGGCCAGAGATGTCACGAATCTTTTTTAGACGCTTCCTGTCGCGCTCGTCGGCGGTCTTGCCAAAGGCGGCAGTGAGGAATGTGACAACCTGCACCGTTTTGCCGAGACCCATGTCATCGCCAAGCACGCCGCCTCTCTGGTAGACGAAGAGACGATGCAGAAACTTGACACCGACGATCTGGTAATCTCGTAGGTACTGGGCAATGGGGGCAGGGATGATTCCTGCCGAATACTCGAGCTCGACATCTTGGTATGGCCGGCAGGGCTTGATCTTTGTGCTCTCGTCGAAGTTGGGTCGGCGCTCCAGCATGTTGAGTCGATCATGCTCGGAGAAGACGACGTCGGAGTAGTCTGGCGGCAGCAAAAGACCGGCCTCCTTCAGTCTCTCGCGGTTCTTCTCGAACGCCTTCCTCCGCTCCTTCAAGTAGTCGGGCGCTTCAGCCACGTCAAGGTCATCCAACCCATCGCTTTCGTCGACGTCGACCCTGACGACGGCGCTCTTCTTGGGTGATCGGCCCTTGGGCTTGCTTTTCTGCCCATTTCTGGCGGTAGCACGTTGGCCCTTGCGCTTCTTGGACTTTGGGAGTTCTAGGTCGGAATCTGCATCCCAGACTTCCTTCTCTTCGAAGCCGACGTCGATTTTACGTTTCCCAAGAGATTTCTTGCTTTGAGGCTGAAACCCATCAATTTCCGAAGCTGTTTCGTCATCGGAAATGACAATGGTGTCTTGTTTGGCCGGTCGGGTCATGATGGCAGCGGCAGCATCGGTCGCATTGCGGTAATGGTACCTGTTCGATGGTAATGACGGTGATGGTGTAGATGGTGTGGGGTTGAGAGCGCGACGACGCGACAAGAGCAGTAGGATGTATCCGTAGGTAGGCACAGTACCTACTTGGAGTGGTGAGTGTGGGGGTTGCTGCCTGCCTAGCAGAGAGAACAGCGCTATGAAAGGTGTGGGTCCAGGTGATCTGGCAATTGGTTAGGCAGGTATGTAAGCACCATGGGTACCTAGGTAGGTGCCGTAGGGATCTCCGTACACGGGCCTGAGCTGCCCGGGGCCCACACTTAGCCGATCGGAAACCGAACTGAAGCTTTGCCATGGAAGCATGCGCCGTTCGGCCTAAACCACCAAATATTAGGGAATGGATGCAGAGAGACTACTTGATTCCTGGAACTAATACACATGCACTACTTGGGAGTGTGACAGCAATGACTCAACTCTCTTACATTTGATGAAATTTTCCACATTCAGACACCTCGTAGGTTTCTATAGGTTCGTTTCCGGGTCGGAATCGTAACAAGCTTTCTCTATGCCGCCAAGCCAAATAGATCTTTCCGTGCAGCGTAATTGTAGATGATGTCGGTCGACTTCCTCGGACGTGTTACTTCGGTTCTTCCGTACTGGCCAGGTGTAGTCAGACGCCAGGAGGACCAACGCAAGCAAACCGGCGACGTGAGAGGCTAGACCGTTGCGCAGGACTCCAAGCCTGGCGTCAAACGTGTCCTGTTCCAGCGGATAACTGCCGGTCACGAGACTGCCACCGGCAGCCTGTAGTGCCAGAGCAACAAACTCACACAATATCAACACGATAGTGTAAGTGCGCGGCTAGAGACGAGAGTTGGAGGCGCCAAAGACAGGGATGATGCGCGCGAGGCTGAGGTACAGGGCGGCGCTGAAGAAGGCAGGCCCGATGGTGATGGTCATGATGTACATGGTCGATTCTAGTCAGCTCCGATGTACGCGATGGTTCTTCTCCTCGTCGCGGCTGTGGCCACTTCGGAGGACACTGCTGCAAGCTTACTGTCGGTATACGTCTTGAGCGTGGTGTAGTCTGACTGGCCACATAGGCGATTATCTCTAGCACGAGGCCCAAGATTATGGCAACGAGGAATCCCCACTTCTTGTAGCGAATGCCAAAAAGGAGCCGAGGAAGCGCTGCGGCGGCGTATACGACAAAGAAGAAAGCGCTCCCTGGCAAGCTACACAAAGCCGTCATTTTCTGGCTGATGTAGCACTTGGGAGACGCGATGAAGATGTGCTTGAAAATTTACTAATAAAGGCTAAAAGTATAAAACGGTCGTAAAAAGGGTATAGTAATGGAGAGGGCCATCAGGTGAAGGGAAGGCATGGTATAGGTGAGGAAGCTGGCTAACAGAGGGCAATATTTCGATATACCATATAGGTCCTTATATATCATTATAAGGGTTTATGCATTGGAACACTACACACTAGAGACAGGAGCTGTTATTGGCTAATAGACGAAGCGGCCAATCAAACCCCTGGTTTCGACGACATTCAGCAACGACATTTAGCGATGGCATTACAGTCTCAGGTGCAGTGTGTGTCGTATTTGCAAACAAAGCTGATTTACTTTCCTTCCGGTGATCTGTATCTCCAAGGATAGAGAGAGTCAAACGACCCTGTCCAACAAAGACGCTGACGACAAGCAACACCGCCTCCTCTTGTGCACACGAGCAGCATCCAGCACCCTCCATTATGAAACCATGAAACAATTTTCACGACATGAACGATTAACCAATGGCTGAGGTGTATGCCGGTTCGTCATTTCCTAACGTCTGGGTGAAAGAGGAGATAGGTAACCCCGGACTGCTCCACGGAACCAAAGAGTACGACACATCAAGTGCGATGAGTCGCGGCCCAGCTGCAATCAATGTACCAAGACCGGGCGCTCCTGTGATGGCCGGAGATGTGGTCCGCCTCTATGCGCCATGCCCTGTGCTACTACACTAGGTGGTCTGTCTCCTCCACGTGCAAATCTCTGCCAGCGCCGGCGGCGAGATCGAGACGACGTTGCTCTGCTGTTTCCTCTCGCCGCCTTCGACCTGCTCCAATGCTACCACAAGGAGTCCCAGGCCCACCACCACGGCAGCGCAGGCCTCCTCCAGACGTGACAGGATAGGCAGAACGGCATCCGTGGCGGATCCTTATGGTCGCCCCGGGGCTACTTTATCCGCGAGAAGCTGGGCCCCTAGTTCCATCGCATGGCGTCGCAGGTCAGACTGTTTGGCCACGTACAGTCAACGTGTTCATCGTCGTCGTCGAAACACGGATGCGAGAACGCCACGTTGGTGACCTTCATCAGCGACGCCCACGGGGGAACTTGGCCCACTTTGCTTCGTACACGACGAAGAGGGCACCGCAGACGATGCCGAAGACGAGGAGGCAGATGACGACGGCAGAGTGCCAAGGGTGCATGTGCCCGCCAAACTCGAGGCTCAGCAAGACAATCAGGACGCCTCCGATGACGATCAGGGTGCCTGCCTAGTTTATAGCGCGCAGGCCCTCACGCACCGAGGTCTTTGCGGTGTCGAGGCGCAGGAGGAAGAAGATGAGGACGGAGACCACGGAGCCGATGGGGAGGTTGATTCAAAAGCACCACCTCCCCGTCGTCAGTCGGTGAAGACGCCGCCGAGGACAGGGCCCAAGCCACTGGCTAGGGCCCAGACGATGGACCTGAGGCCAAAGTACAGGCCGCGGCCACGCAGCGAGAACAGGTCGCAGATGCAGATGTTGACGAGGGTGATGAGTCCCGCGGCACCGAGACCATGCACGGCGCGTCCGAAGAGTAACAGCGGGATATTCTACATACGGGATAATCTCAAAGAGTAGAGCTGCAAGAGGCCGAATAATGCATAGAGGACATCTGCGCTTGTGGATGGATAACTTAGCCTGGACTGTGCACAAAGTCTGTCTTTTTGGTGTCTCTGGCCCCATATTACCAGTGAATCTGACGGTGTACCCCCCGAAGCATCTCCTGGCTAATACCATGACCACGACAAGCCGGAGGGCCGTAGACATCGTCTTGTGCACAAAGCCCACGTCGACATCCAACAGTCGAGCTTCGGCATGTGCATGGACGAACCCAAGGCTGTCGGGGTCATCCTTGACCGCAGACGCCAGCTTGGCGACAAATGTCACCAAGCCCAATGTGACGATGATGGCGGCTAAAACCGTTCTTTCCCAGGTAAACATGACTCTCAATCTGTTTTGCAAGGTGAGACTGGCAGAAGCGATCGTGACGGCGACGAGGAGCCCGTTCGCAGCGAACTATGAACGGAACACTGCTTCGGGCGCGCCCGGCCCGCCTGAGTTCCATTGCTGGCAGAAAAGACCCAGAAGCACGACGGTCGAGAAGTGTGCTATCCCACGCGGGCTTTTCCTGCAGTGATGTCAGCTTACATCGCATATACACACCTACGGTGCATGCGAATGAAACCAGTAAACTGGGGAGAAAGGGCCTTCCACTGGGCACTGAAGCAGAACGGCCAACAAGGCGACGTACTGCCAGACAATCCGTTCTTCCACGGCTGCTGAAACAAGGGCATAGCCGTAGAAACCGAGGAATGCGGTGGAAAACAGGGTTCCTGGGTCCAAGTGAGGCATGAAAGCATGCACAGCTGAACCGAAATGTAAGCAGAATGAAGACGCCGACGTTCTTCCAGGGAATGGGAAGTTCCAGTAAGCCAGAAAGTGTGGGCACAAGGTTGGCCTGGTGCACCACGTTGCGGTACATGAACTCATCGCCCGAAGGCTGGGCCGGCGCCCGGGACTGAGGGCGTCGAGTTCAGATGCTCCTGATCTGTGACGGACGTGTAGATATCTTTGACCACGTGACCTATCTGCTGCTGCTTAAAAAAAAAAAAAAAACATGTCGCGGCTGCAGAACTGTCAATGCTTGTTCGTGTTTTTTCTTGATTTTCTTTTCGGCTTCCAGCTACCGTTTGTACCTACCGGTACGGACCACGGAGGTGACCAACATGATGCACGCCTGGAAAATGGAGAACAAGAGCGCTCCTATCATCTTTTTGAAGCTCGGTCAAGGCGTGGGAGGTGATGTTCTAGCTTCTGGACCCACACGGGAGATAGGTTTGCGGGTTGCCGAGACTGTCGGGAAGCCTGCAACTAGTGCCAACACAAAAGGACCCACAAGTCACCGAGCCCGGTCAGCGGAGTCGGAGCCGAAGTGGGGATCCGAGCGGCCTGAAAAGTAACCCACTGACACCCGGGTGACAAGAAAGATGGCCAGCTGCCATGTGGTACCAACGCATGGCACAATCACCTCGCTGCCAGCCAGATCGAGACGGCAACCCCCCGATCGAGCAAATCCACCGGTTGAAGACCAGCGCCAACGTCTAACGCCCAAGTACCGGCCGGCATGCTAGTGTGTCTCTAGTTCCTGCGACGGGCTGCATGTAGGTAGATTGCCTCCCACGGCGCCGTAAGCGATGCGCCCAAAAAGCAAGCACGTCGACATGTAAGTCTCACCGGGTGCCTGGCTGTCCGGCATGATCCGTCGAAAACATAGTGTAATCAATGCAACATGGACTACGATAGGAGAAGAGATTGGACTCAATTTGCCGGATTGCGACAGCATCAGAGGTGCGAGGCAGATGTGAGCCGTGTGGCTGCAGCTGCAGCTGGTTGGGCAACGTACCAAGTCCCCCCCCCCACCCCCTTTGGAGATTAGAATGACGTCACACTCACACACCTCCCGTCTTATGAGACTCTTGGACGACGACATTCGAGAAATCTTTTCCCCGTCGCTTGGATCGCCAGACCAGGGGGGGAGAGCATTCAGCCACACAAGTTGCGCTGCGCTGTCCGCGTGACAGGTATTGGGTTGATCGAGATGAGTCTGGAACCGGTTGAGCCACAGCTGTCGCCACAGACGTCGTAAGCGATTGTGCCTTTTCTCCGCAAGTCGCAAATATCATGCCGCCATTCTTCACTCCGTAGTTGCTGTGCAATAATTACTTCATCCATCCAGGTCGACCACGACTGGTTATCTGATCGGGTCACTCGGGAGCCCGTCCAACTCCCAAGAGCATCCAGCCGCGCTCGCACGATGTGCCATCTCTCGTGCTGGTTGGCTTAGTGGCCTTGGCCTCGTTTGTATGGCGTGCCACTTTACGCTGCCCGTCAAGCCGGCGCATTGGCTTTACAGAGGCCGTACCACAGAGCAAACAAAAGCCCGAAACTGCCGTCGTAATAAAAGTTCGAGAAAGGGGTACACTAGTATGGGTTTGCTGTCCCGCTGCAAGGATCGCAGGACATCGCAGCTCCGCAAAGGCTTGTTTCACACCTCAAGACCTAGGATGGATGGCAAGCGCCGTCCTTTTTAGGAGTGGTGCTAGCCCATCAATGTTTCTCATCTGGCCATCACTTCCCTGAGGATGACCTCATGTGGAGGGGAGCTATAGGCCCGGACGAGCAGAAAAGAAGAACAGACAAGCTCTCGGCAGCGTGCCACGAAGCCGACCTGGTGACGTTGAGCCAACCAGCCCTAGTTTCCCCCCTCCCTTCCCTTCACGGCCAAGGTGCCGGATTTAAAAAAAAAAGAAAAAAAAAAAGAGAGATTTGCTTGGCAGGGTCTCTGCGCTGTATAGCCGATCTGCAGCAAGCCGCACCTCGGGACTTGGACGTCGTTGCATCAGTTCTTGGATGATGGTTCTTTCTAGTCTTTTCCGAGCCGGGTTTTCCTACCATGCCCAGCGCTTTAGTCACAAAGAATCACTGAGACTTGCGGTCCAGATGCGCCTGCTGTGCTCGGCGGTGACGGCATGACGATGAGGTTTGCAAGCCGGGCTACTTACTACCTACCCAAACCTGCTTTCCCACCTGATCGTCATCCTGATGCGACTCTCTTGGGTGGCTGGTGTTAGACACAACACAACTTGCCATTACCCCCCCGGAAAGTTAATAAATAGAGATAACCTCGTTGCCCTCCCCCTAGCTATTTTTGTTCTCCATCCCTCAGACGAGCAACAAATCAGCAGACTTTCCAGTGCGACAGCTCATCATCTCAACCACTCCTAAACTCAACCTCAAGTTTGTAACCACACACACACACATACACACACACCAATCACAATGGCTCTCGACCGTGTTGTGCAGTTCATCCTCCGCGGTGCCCAGCTGGTGTTCGCCGCCATCGTCGCCGGTATTACCGGCGCCTACCTACACGCATCTCGCGCCTCAGACTGGGACAATGGCCGCTTCATCTACACCATTGTGGTGGCCAGCTTGTCGCTGCTGTTCGCCCTGATCTGGCTGTTCCCCTTCTCGGGTAGCTTCATCCACTGGCCCATGGACATCTTCCTCAGCATCCTTTGGTTCGTCGCCTTCGGCCTGCTTGTTAACGTAAGTTACCTTCCACAATTCTCTCATCTGTTATGCGATCCCCGCGTACTGACACCCCTTCCCAGCTCATCGGCGATGGCTGCGGCCCCATCTTCGACTGGAGCAATGTCAGCCCCCGTGGTGATGCGTGCGGTCGCAACAAGGCCAACATTGCCTTCTGCTTCCTGTCTGCCATTGTCTGGCTCGCGGCCGCCCTCATCGGCCTCTTCTGGGTCCGTCGCCGCACTGCCGTTGCCGACAACCGCCCTGTCCACCACGGCCGCCGCCGCTGGTACCGCTCTTCTCGCGTCTAAGCGGCGCGCGCGCGATCCACACTGTTGGTCACATTTGCAGATGCTGAATGAGATGATGGGCCAACAATCATAGCCACGTTCTTCTCTTGATAAGCTCTGCCGCCGTCCTCGACGGAACGGGGACGTGTATCATGAAGGAGTTGAACATGTCGTTTTGTTTTTGAATGCCCCTCTGTGTTAATGACAGTATGAGAATGGCTTGAAGCTTCACTGGAACACTTGATACCCGATAATACCCAACTTTTGTATCATAGCACCTACCCTAATATCACATCGTCCTACCCGATTCTTATTTAATTCGTCACTACTGATGTCTTATGTCTATGGCCACAACCGAATTTGATACAATTGTAACCGTGAGTGCACTACCATGCAGCGCACTCCACGCAACAAACCCACGCAAAACATGCGGGAGATTTCAAAAACCAACCGCAGTCTCGTTCTAACCGCACGAGGAGGGGGAATCTAGACGTTATTTTGAATCCAGAGTCTATGAAGACTTATGAATGGGGTGATGACTCGCCACCAGACCGCCAGAGGCTCGCGCAGGGGAACGGGTTCCGCCCACCTTCTGGACGATCCGGGGAAAGTGGGTCTCTTGCCGGGACGCAGCCCTAGGAAAGCCCCGGCGGCGGGCCGCGAAGTTTCGGGATGCGGTCCACTTCCACGGGGAGTTTGGCATCGCCTCTCCCCGCTGGATAGGTAGCACCCACAAGACCGTGCTTCAACGATGAAAGCTTAATAGAGTTGGCCACGGCGGAAGACAAATGGTGGAGATGATGGCTCTTGGTACCTAGGCTAAGAGTTGTTGACGTTTGGAAGATCTTTCTTTTCTTCTTACATCACCCTAATTTCCCCCTAATCTCTTTTCTGATTCCATTGCAAAACTGGTTGCAACTGTTGGGCCTTTTTTAAGAAAGTAATAATAATAATCGCGCAACACCAAAAGCGCTTTTATTATTTCTTCTATCCAGTCACCCCGACGTGTCAAGACGCCTCAGCTTCTGAGCTGAAAGCGGACCGCAAAGGAGGGGACCGGTGATCTTGAGCCAGTATCAACGTAACCATTGCCATGTCCAATGTGTATTGTCCGGACAAAGAAGCAAACTCTATTGCTAGTCGAGATGGAAAGCAAGCTGAACCACTCAAAAGGCTGGCAATTCTCGCTCAATATGATGGTTCTGAGGGACAGTCCAGGACGACGATACTTGTTTGCATGAAAAGCAGTGTAAGATACGCCATGTCGTGCAGAAGAACAGCGAACAGCGAACAAGTGTTATTCGAGACCAAGAGAACAAAGTCATCTTCAGCTGCCAGAGCCGACCACTTGACCACGGCAGATTCTGCGTTGCTCAACGATCAGCCAGGCCGACTGGGCTGTTATCGGGAGGTAGCTCGAGACATGGAACTGGCGATCGCGGCCGCTCGGGCTCGAGACACGTATCGACTTGATTAATGACGTAGGTGTATGAGGGAACCGCCAACGGGACGGCAAGGTCAGAAAACCAGGGAAAGCGTCGCGGGTTTTCTACGGGGACCGAAAGACAGACGGGAAAGGCGTGGCAAGCGAGATGAGAGAAAGTGGGAATAAACCAAAACCAAAACCAAAACCAAAACCAACCAGACAAAGCTCGCCAGCAAACAGAGCCCCTGCATGGTGTTGACCGCCCCCTCTTATCGGTGCCGCCATGCCGTTCCGAAAACAGTCTTGTGCTCCGCGACTGGTTCCCGTGACTACATCCCTCGAGCTCGCTCGCAATTCTGGACCGCTCCAGACCGCGACCGTGAGCGCGCCTCGGAACGGGCTGCATGGCTGAGAGAGCGGTTTTCTTTTTTCTCTCTTTCCCCCCCTCCCATGTTATTCCTGCCTCATCTCGAAACCAGCCTCTCCGTGGGCGGGGGTTTTGGGACGGACTAGGCCGGAAAGGATCGGGGGGCCCGCCCCATTGTATCATTTGCGCCAGCAAATTACGGACACTAGGGTTCCGCGTGAGAAGCTTCGCTGGCAAACAAGTTTGAGATGGCTTTAGAATTCCACGATGCGCGATCCAAGATGCTGCAATACTCGGGGACTTGCAGACTTCGGGCTGAGAAGGGGACGACAGATGTCCCAGACCGTTTCCAAGCTACTGCGGCGCATCCCTCCCCCCTAGGCCCGCCCTGAGTCTGGACTAGACGCCTGCAAGTTGCTCCCCCCCCTGGCCGCCAGGTTTTCCCGTCTGTGTGGCTCTGCTGACACGGCTGGATTCGAAAAGCCGAGTGACCAGCGAGTCGGTTCGGGCGCCATGTGCGGCAAAATAGCGTGCTTCATTAGCTCTGGCGGCAAAATAAGTAGCATGTCGCACGCATAGAGATATGCCCCCCCCCCCCCCCCCCCCCCAAGGCTGCGCGGGAGAGGAACATGTGTTGACAGATCGCTGTAAGGAACACGGGGGGGTTGGAGAATGGGAATTGCGCAAATTGCCCTTCATAATGACCCAATTCCGCCGGCGATCTTTCCCGTATGGAAGACGGGTATATTTCTGGCATCTGAAGTTCTGAAAGAGCGCCCGACGCTGCATCACCGCCGCCCTGATCAGAGCCGCATGGCGTAATACCCCGCAATGTTGCGTCGAGGCGGGGGGGGGCCGTCACGGATGAGGCAAAACAAGGTCAGAGCAGGTTACAGTTAGCGCCACGGTCCCACGAGCTTAGGCTTACTAAGTACGTAGAGTACCTAGGGGGAGCTGATGTACGTGATGGAACGATGACCGCATTCTGTGGGGTAGATGACGCCACACCATTTTATGTCAGCCATGCCATGGTGACCCCTCCACCCAAGCCACACCTCGATCGACTCCACATGGACAGCCAATGATGTAGCTTGCGCCACACGCGGGGTGGGTGGGCTCGGCTCAGAAGAGCTTCGGTGCTGCGTCATTGGCGGTTTTTCATCTTGTCTTTTTTGAAATCCACTGCCTTTGGTTCCGTGGAACCTTTTGGCGGAGCACAGCGAGCGGTACCATGTTGCCCCGTCATCCCAGGCTGACATTTTCCCATGTCATGCTTGCTGAACCTCACCCCAACAAACCCTACCTAGTGGAAAAGAGTTGCGAGGCGAGAGAGAAAAGGGGACGGACACGAAGAAGCTTGGGTCACGCGTTTGTCCGCTGCCTCGGATTGCGTCTTTTTGCATGTCTTACAGCAGGTAAACGCCATGAGACAACGACGCGCGGCAACCGGCACGCCATTCCTTTCTGATGATGTGTCTCCAACGCCGCCGCACTTAGTGTACTTACCCCAGTCTGGGTGGCGGAGCGGGAAAAGGTCAAACAGGAGGGAGGCCAGGTATCGACACCTCGCTCCGGCACCCATTCCATCCTCCCATCCCCCCCCCCTCTTCCCCTTGTACACTACCCTCACCACGTGTGGTAGCGTGCCTGAGCGGGTAGCCCAGTTTGCTCCAGGCCTAGCCAAAATCAACCAGCACCCATCGCCCAGGTTCGCCACGTTTGATGCCCATCCCACAGCCCTAGGACGTCACTAGCCACTGATCTCCATAGCTCTTCAACCGAAAAAGGCTTAACGGAAATAAGCCAAGCGTCACCCCAGACAAAGGTCCTGCCTCGCTCGTCATCCAGCCATGGCAAACTGGGTCTCGATCGTCCCCCCTTCCCATTGGCCATGGGTCCACCGGCAGCGAGCGGAGCAGGCGTGTCGGCGTACCAACAACACCTCGCTCCGACTGGTTGGCAGTTGTAGCTTGTATCCCGAGTGAGACGACCTGCGTCCAAGACCTATGACGACGTGCGGACGTAAGTGCGCAAACAATTCTGGGTACTCTTTCCTCCTCATACTACCCAGGTATGCCGTCTTTCCTCTAGGCCCATGCCGCCACGAGGTGGATAGGCATTGACGTTGGACTGGCCCAGGCGAACGGGCATGGTGCAGATTCCTTGATTATTGTCAGTCACAGCGTCGACAGCCCAGCCGACCTGGCTTGCAAGGGGGACTGGGGCGCTTTGCTGGATCGCGATCGCAATCCTCCTCTCATCTGCCGTCGACCAAGGATGGATGGGATGGGATGCGCGCCCTTCTGGATGCCTTCCCATTTCTATATAACCGTCTCAACCACCCACCCTCTGAGGCTTCTTTTCTTTCTCTCCTCATCATAACACAAGATACCCAAACAAAGCAACCAACCATTCACCAACATCAACCACACAACCACGCCTTTTTCTAATATACCAACATTTGAATTCATTGATACCCGCACCGCGAACACTAGCCCAACATGTCTTCCATCGTCAACAAGGTCAAGGACGCTCTCCACTCCGACAAGAAGCACGAGCAGCCTGAGGGCGTCTCCGGTCCCCACGGTAGCCGCGCTGCCAACGCCGCCGACCCTCGCATCGATTCTGACCGCGACCACCGCGCCAACCCTGCCGGCACCACTGGCACCCACACAGGTACTCACACTGGCACCACTGGCTCCGGCTTGACCGGCAGCCACGGCACCACCACCAGCACCACCGGCTACAACGACCCCGATGGTGTTCACGGCCCCCACAGTGGACGCGTTGCCAACAAGGCTGACCCCCGCGTCGACTCTGACCGTGACCACCGCGGTGCTCCCGGCTCCGGTTTGACCGGTACCACTGGTACCCACGGCACCACCGGCTCCGGTCTTACTGGTGGCCACGGAACCACCGGCTCCGGCCTCACTGGTAGCCACGGCACCACCGGCACCACCGGCTCCGGTCTTACTGGTAGCCACGGAACCACCGGCTCCGGCCTCACTGGTAGCCACGGCACCACCGGCACCACCGGCTCCGGTTTGACCGGCTCTCACGGCACCACCGGCTCCGGCCTCACTGGTAGCCACGGCACTACCGGCACCACCGGCTACAACGACCCCGATGGCGTTCACGGCCCCCACAGTGGACGCGTTGCCAACAAGGCTGACCCCCGCGTCGACTCTGACCGCGACCACCGCGGCGCTCCCGGCTCCGGCCTCACTGGTAGCCACGGCACCACCGGCTCCGGCCTCACCGGCAGCCACGGCACCACTGGCACCCACAACACCCACGGCAACTCCAGCTTGACCGGCAACCCCAGCACGGGCGCCACTGGCGGCGTCTCCAACACCCACAACGCTGCTGGCCACGTCGGCTCTGCCGTTGCAGGCACTCACGGCACCGGTCCCGCCCCCAACACCGCTGGACCCCACAAGTCCGACGCCATGAACAAGGCCGACCCCCGCGTCGACTCGGACCTCGACGGCTCCAAGACCGTCGGCGGTAACAAGACCTACGCCCAGTAAGCGAAGACCACCTGCGAGCGCCAGCCGATTTCCCGAAACCGTCGGTCGGGGAAGAGGGGGAGGGGCGGGGCCAAGAGGCACAAAAAGCATGTTTATAGGGACTGACGAGCAACCTCAGGGATACCACCTCGGGTGTTGCCAAGGACCCTACCGACGCGGCTCAGGTCCCTCCCTCCGTCTTGGCCCAGCACATTGGCGAGCCTCAAATTGCCCACGGGGACCACGATCACGGACGCGCGAGGCGCAACAGCAAGGTGTCTCACCAAGAGACTCACCGCGGATTGTAAGATTGGGGTTGGCTTTTAATGAAAAGGAGCGACATGGTGGATTGGTGGGAATTGATACCTTAGTGATTGTACCATAGCCTGATATGACTTAATGATATTATCATCGTCAAAACAAATTGTCAACCATGTTCATTTGAAAGATTTTTCGATGTTAACTTATGTGTATTAAGAAGTTTGTGGTATCTAGATCACACTGAGAGTAGTGGTATCTCTTATCTGCATTCTAGTGTGTGGGAAAAAAGGCTGATGTATCCGTATACTTACGTAGCCCCAAACCCTCATAAACGGTATAGTGCAGTTCACGATACGGGCCACCTCTGACCTGTGTTAGATCTCAACATCTTAATACGGTATAGAATACCCAGCATCGCAAAGCTATATACAAAGCAACTGTTGAATCTGACTTCTTTTCAACGGGAAAAAATAAATCAAATTAAATTAAAACAAAAAGAGAGACAAGGATCAAAGTTGCGTGGAACGTTGAAAACGTAAGTTATAGGCAGTGGGGTATAGCGGCGCAATAAGACAACTAACCCATCCCCCCCCCGGGCCCCCCCCCATATAGTATACTCGCCCAAGTACTCCGTAGGTAGTTTTAGTTTTAGTTTTTAAAAAGCAAGGGATGGCAGGACCAACACTTGTTATAATCCGCACTATTGAACCAGTTGACATCCCCCCCCCCCCCCCTCCCCCACCTTTGTATCCGTCTGTTTCTACCCAACGACATGTTTTCTCGCAACACCGTTTTTCGGTGTAAACTACCAATCGCCGAGCCTTCCCACCAATGTTCCCGTCGCCCCGGATCGTCCCAGGAACGGGCCCTCCTAGACAACGTCTCAGCTTGGGCTTCGTGAGAGCTAAAGCTAAAGAGGCAGATATCCCACCCTCCTTCTCAACAGAAAACAAACACCCTCTCAACGGCCCTCATAAAGCGCTTTCCGTCGGGCGGTCCTGCTTCGCTTGTACGATGGGTATACCGGGCCCCGCATGGTCACATAACGACCCCCCTCCCCTTTCCCCTGTCGGTCTTGTGTGACCCGATGCTTTGCAGTCTCGCGTGTGTCTCTGCTGGCGGGAGGCACCCCCCCTCCTCTCTACCCAGACTGTCCTTTGTCATGAGTCGCCGTACCAATGAAACATCCTTCGTTACTTTTGGAAGATAGCGCGCCTGGTTCTCATTTGTCGAACCTCCTCTTCATTAACCCAGGCTTGAGCCCCTTTCCCAAGTCGTGACGCATTGGTAAGTAAAATGCCCCCCCTCCCCTTCCTCTCCCGCGTGGACTAGACACTGGTGAACGGCAATCGCCCGGCTATACCGGACCATTGTCTCCGGCACATCACCCGCCGCATTCCCGCGACAAGGCACCACCCCTCTTCCTCAGGCGGCTCCCACGGGGGAGCAAGGTTTCCGGCGCGTTGGACAGGCGAGGAGGCAGACACATGCAATGCCGTTGACGACGTGGAACCGGCATACGGTCCCTGGATCTTTCTCTTACTATCCCGGCATAATACCGCAGAGGACGGGGGACACTTCCGGTCCCAGTTGCGCGCATCCGGCCGGTTCATATCTGGCCCCCCCCCCACCCCCGGTCCCTCCATCTCGAAAGGGAAACATTGCGACGCATCACTCATCTCTTGCATCTGAAGCCTTGGCATGTCGCATAAAAGTGAAAGTCGGGAGACGTGAAGTTGTCGCTCGTAGGTGATGTCGCCCCCGATGTTTTGCGTGAGAATTGGGCGATGGGTGAGGTTTTGCTTTTTCTTGCCTCTTTTCTTTATCGACAGATAAGGCTCTCCCCCACGATCGCAGTGCATCGCAATGCATCGCAGTGCCTTGTCTTGCCTTACGCGCGAAGGCAGAAACCGACTCTTTTCTCGTCAGAAGACATTCCGTGCTTTTTTTTTATCATGATTATTCTTGGGTGGAGGGGCGGCGTGCGCTAGCTCCCCATTGCCCACACACATTCACACATAATGGTTGAGAGGAGGATGGATGTGATCGATGACGGCCGCGACCTTGGCGACTTAGAATCGTAAACAAGCTAACAGCCGCCCACTTTCCGGGAATCGAAAGTGGGCTTCAAGACGTGATGTGATGCGTTGGACAAAGAGGTGTGTGTGGCCATCGCCCACCACTGCCTGGAGCCTCCACATCACCCGTTACCTCAATCTCCCCATCTGGGGATGCTGCTCCTGATACCATAGGGTGGGCGGCGTTTGCAAAGCGACCCTTACTGCGTAAAATGGGTTGGTGACACGTCTTCACCTCCTGGCGAGGATCCCGCTTCGGATACGAGGGTGACAGAGCCGACGCAGCGAATTGACGGGCAGGAGCATGGTAAGCAAGGCACACTTACAGTCATCAGACGCCGGTGATTGGCCGGCAGGCTTGTCACCGGCACCTTGAGATATCTACAAGTAGAACAGCCCGCATATTTGGGTTGTGGAAGAGGCGTCGCTGTGGCGCCTTGCTGCCTTATACCGAGCGATTTGAGGCGAGAGGGACATCATCGTTGCCCTCGGCTTAGGGAGCCGAGCTGGAAGATCCAGTGCCATGGGATTGTGGTCTCAGCCCGTCATCCACCCGAGGGCATGGAGGGCCTAGGTATACGAGTAGTGTAGTGCGGACTTTGTAAGAAGCGGACGTGTCTCGGTTGGAAGGAATCACCCCTCTGCACGGCCAACGGGATACATGACATGGGGCACGGCGAGGGTATGAGCTAGGCAAAGGCTAGCAGCAGTGGTCACGGAGGGCGGAACGCGGGAGGGAAAGAAAGAGGGTTCAGACCAAGCACCGAAGAGACGGGCACTGGATTGCGGCAAGGCACGGGAAGACCATCCTATGTCGGGGAATAGGTCGAGGAGGGTGCTGCATATGCCCAAGGAGCTCTAAAGCCCGAATCTGCAGGGAAAATCAATTGGGGTGCCATATCTACTACGATGTACGGAACTTTGCCATTCTGCGACCATCGTGGGAAACCAAAAGACGGCGAATGTGATGGGAAAGTGATAGAGCGAGGTCGTCGGGGGGGGGGCGTGTGAGCAAGGCATTGAGGTTGGCGACCGGGAGCTTCAAGTCCGCAAAAGGCCGCCGGTGGTTTGTTGGCCATGCAGGCAACGGGCGGTCTTGTCACTCCGAGTCACTCGACTTGGAAGGTACTTTGGGATGGCTGGCGAATAAAAAATAAAAATAAAAAGGCTCGAGGCAGTAGACGGCGTATTCGTAGTGGTAGCGCATGTGCTGTGTGGTGTAGGTGCGCTGTGCAGCGCAGCCATCTCGTTTGAGTGATTTTGTCATGAATGACAAGTGACAGGAGGAGAGGGCGTGTCTGGTTCAGATGGGGGCGCGGTGGGTAAGCATGCCAGATATAGTGTACTGCCTCTGCCTATGTCCGTGCGCCAATCTGCAACTAAACTAGTGTACCTAGCTGCACGGCACAAGAAGAAATGAAACGGCTGGCCAAGGGACCCCGCGAACAGAAATCCTCCTTGGGACAGGTGATGTGCCTAGCACCAGAGCAACATGGACAGGGGGGGCCGCTGTTTGCTACGGCGATTTTCTTGCTTGAGAACCTGACAGCTCACGCACATGGCCGATTAGTGAACTGCGCCAAGACGGCGAAAGGTTCTAGTATTGAATCTCCTTCGTCTGGATAAATGAGCAAATACCTAGGATCCAGTGCATTCGGTGGCACTGGACCTGATGCCCATCCGGACCCATGGCTGTCTTGGTCTTTTTGGATTCGAGGTAGGATGCAAGATTCTGCGGTGACAAACCCTCTTTAGCGCAGAGGGTGAGGGAATCCTTGCCGCACGCGGCGAGCACTTGGTTATGGATCATGAACCTTGCGGCGCAACGGCTCGCTCGGCCCTTTTATTTTGATTTTTTTATGGGGTCCGTGAAGGTGCTTCCCACACGTGCGCTATCAAAGTCGACTCGTGAGTGGGGTAAGGAAGCATGTAGGTAGGGGGTGGGCGTCTTGTTTGCTTTCTTTTCCCAATCGTTGTATCGAGCGGGTTGGAGTGGTGTAGGTACTCTGTGGCGAGGTGAAAGAAAGCAAATGAGTGGCTACACTACTTGGTTCCATCTTATCGACGTCGGTGATGTTGTGAAAACAGGCGAATGTTGCGATGATGTGGCCCATCGAGCTTGCAACCATCCACGGCCATTACTGCAAGGAGAGAGACCCGCAGATAGCGTCGACTGCCAAGGCGGGCGGGCATCGCTGACAGGCCTCGCTGTCATCCCATCTCTCCGAAAGACACGCGTCGAGAGGCAGAGACGAGGGTTGTTGTCTCGGGATGAGTCGTCCATGGTGGAAGTTGCTGTCGCAGTCGGGGTGGGATTGGATTTGGCAGCTTCAGCTTAGCTCGGACTCGTACTAAGGCATTGTAACGTGGGCGTTAGCTTAGTAAGTAGGTAGGTGAGGGAGGAGCCGCTGTCAGATGCGCAAGGAAACCCCCCCCGGCCACCCCAGGTGCTGGGGGAAGCTCCTTTCTGAAAGCAAAGCTCAATGCAGGCAGGCAGGCAGGCAGGCAGGCAGGCGGGTAGGTAGAAGGTAGGGGTGTGGCTCGAGTAGTCGCATTCGATTACGTAATGCGAATAACCACCTAGTAAAGCGGGGCATTGCTTCAGCCACGGGCTGGGAAGGAGCGCCCCAGCTGTCGCCCTTCCGTATCCGTTCCCGAACCACCTCAGTCCTCTGCCCGGCGCAAACTGCAACGTCAATCGCGGACTCGGTCCACACCGCAGCTTTCCTGGCCTGCCAACTGCGTACCTGCTCAACTCAAGGCACTGCCATCCCGCACCGCGACTGAGAGAGACGACCTCACGACGATCCACGATGACTAAGGGCTTTCCTTGATCGCCCTCGCCATAGCTTCATCTCACCCTCTTCTCTGTGTCTATTGTCACACCCATCTCCACAACCTCTCCCCCATACGAAGACACGCATACCTTACTTAGTACTCCGATCCATAAGCCCTGCGCTTAACTACCACCGTCGCCCAGCCATCACCCACCATGACCTCCATCCCCCAGGCCCTCTGGTCCGCCCAGATCCCCCTCCACATCATCCACCCCTCGCACCCCAACACGCCGCTGGTAACCTCGCTGCCGCGCTTTTCCTACCTCGCCCTGCTGGTTCCACGCTGCTCTGCCTTCTTCCGCGCCCCCGTCTCCGCCTTCCACCATGAGCATCTTCTCCTCCGGAATCTGCCTCTCGGTCTGCTCGTCGATCTCTACCAGCCTTCCCTGCCCTGGCGCCTCACTGTCAGCGATGGCGACAGCTGGGACATTGGAGACACCTTTCTAAACTGTGTCAAGGAGGTGAGCTTTTCCTTGTCTCTCATCTCCTTCCCCAGCCTCTCACTGTCTCTCCATCCCTTTCTTGTCTCCAATAGAGCCCGCCCAAGACCCAAACTACTGTACAAGCGAGCGCGCCATTCCCCTCTGTCAAATTTCTTTCGTCCCAGCAGTTTACTCCTCACAAACTCGACTCATATGTCTCATTGTCCATTCATTCCCGCTACGGCTTCACCTTGAAGAACAGGTCCACCATCTACCCCCCCCCAAATTCCCATTCTACCTCGCTTCGCCGTGAAGGATCATCAAAATCAAACCCGAGACCGAACCAGACCACCTGACCTCCCCCTCCCCCCCCCCAAAGGCAGACTTCGTCCGCTATGGCAACGCAAAACGCATAATGTCGCTATCTAAAGCGGACACCTCGGCCCTCTGGAATGCCGTCCAAGACAACGACTTCGCGTCTTTCTCCAAGATCAACGCCCTCCTTCTCAACGCCCCCACGCCCCTCCGCAACGTGCCCTTGCGGGTGTACATTCCCTCCTCGCCCCCGCCCGGCACCTCGTCATCGTCGCCCTCGCTCGCCTCGCCGGCCGCGACGTCCCCGAGACCGCCAGCCTCGCCATCGACAGCTTCGTCGCAGAAGCACCAGCCACAGCCAGCGCCACCAATCCTAAGTCTGACGGCGGACCAGCCCTCTTCCACGGGCGCCTACAAGGTCCTTCAGGCCCTTGTGCCTCCGATAGTGCCGGGCACCCGCAACACCCCCCAGACCCTTGGCCGTGCCCTTCAGTCGCACCTCCCATCCCTCTTCCCCTCGAGTCGAGACCCAGTCCTTGCCAACGTAGTGCTCCACGGCTCACCTGTGCCCTTCTCAGCTCCCTTAGAGGACCTCATGCGCGAAGCCGCGTACCCTGACGGGTGGCTTTGCCTAGCCGTCGTTTTGCTGTGAAGGAAAGAGAGGGAGGAAGATGGATAGACCCAGGCTGATTGGGGCACAGAAAGCCTTGGCACATGTAGATTAGAGGGGCGTCGTTGGGCGTTTGGGAGTTCAAGCGGGGACATCATCACTGGGGTTGGCTTTGGTTCGGTATCTTTGGGGACTTGGTGGCCTTCCGCAGACCACCAGTTTACCCTAGACCCAGGGGGGATTCACCGCGTACACTGCTGCAACTTGAAGTTGACAGATAGCAAGAGAGATCCCCATCATTTCTTTGATCAAATCCACATTGAATGGACTGCGGTATAGACGCAGGATAGCCTTTTCATACCACACACACACACACAGTTGCCCACGCTGTAGGAAGATATCCAAATCACTCACTCTGTCCGGTCCTGGACCTAAAGCCATGGCATTTCTCATATATATATATAGATAAGTACCTTCTTGTTTCCTAAGGCCTTTTGCTGTATCGTCCAATGGTATATATATCATCGCCACGTTTATGTGTGAACTGAGTAAGTAACCAGGAGAGGGGGAGAAAAGAAAAAAAAAAAGGAAAAAGTACCCAACACAATACAAACCCCCTCCCACCCTTTCTTTTTCTCCTAGGAAAAAAGCATTTGTATAACCCACCGCACCCCCCCCCTTCCCTCACAGCAGCGCATGTCTCCATTCCATGCGTCTGTGTGCGTGCGCCCAGGCTTCCAGAAGCCGGAGAAAAAGATCTGGCACAAAGATCAGAAGAAAAAGAAATGAGAAAAAAGAAGAAAACAAAATTCCCAAAGGTGCCTGTGACGGAGGAGAGGAGACGAAGCAGGAGAAGAAATAAATAAAGGCCTCTTTCGCCTCCAATGGGATTTCCTGCGCGACATGAGATCCCTGCACCCGGAACACACTTTTGGAAATAGTGCGTCAGGGTCACGGGGGAGAGTTTGTACTATAATATAAATTTGATATGGTATGATGAATAGAGCCCGCCCGAAAACCTACCACTTGACTCTCTCCCTCTCTCTCCTGGTCATTGAGGCGACATGAGGGGGAAAAAAAGAAATGAAAAGAAAAAGCAGCACACGCGAACCCAGTTCTCCGATATGCTTGATGCGGGATAGTAGTACCAGGAAGAATGCCAAAGACGAGAGAACAATATATGCCAATATATGCCAAAAAAACGAAACCACGAGAGCGGGAGCGCGGTCTCCCAAGCTTTTCCGGTGGAAAGCTTAAATTGAGCCGGCCACAAGGAAAAGACGTCAAGACCCAAAAATGCAAGCGTGGCGCGCGCGCAAACCAAACCAGACCTTAAGCCAACTAGTGTGCTTTCCCACCCTTGATATCTCCTCCACCCAAATTACCTCCATAAAAGCCCGCAGGGGGCGTCGTTTGATAACGACTGTGCGGCGCTTGTTCCTCTAAACCTCCCTCCCAACAAGCCATCCCTACCTCCATGATACTGCCTACCCGGCCCTCAACGTCGGTTCGCGTGTCTATCCGGCCTTTTCGGGTATGGGTCGGTAACGTCGGGTTCTCGCCAAGTCGTGTATGAGCCCCCGCAGAGGCGTGGCTAGATTTGGTAGTAATAGTAGTAGTAAGTCGATACCGTTGTCGACATCTGAGAAGACGTTTCCCAAATACCAATATAGATACGAGACGTAAATTTAAAATCGCCAAACGCCGGTTCATGGTTGATGTTCATGTTGCCTGGGCTGAGAGTCGTAACCACGAGTGGGACAATATCTCTGGCCCGCTTCGTCAGCTTTGTCCGTTTTTCCTCCCAATTGGTATTCCATCCCCCATTCCCCCCTTGGCCTCAGGGATGTTTTTTTCTTTCTTTTGCGTCCAGTTTCCCACTCCAATATTCTGTTGACCCACTGCTGTTGCTCGTGTTCTCTTGCAGTGGGTGCGTGCTTCGTGAAGCTTCGGTTTACATCTGCATGGGCTGCTGACCCGGTGATCCAGAGTATCCGTGATAACCCTGGTGGTGGTTTGACGGGTGGCTTGATCCGTTGCTGAGGATGCGGTGTCCCTGGCCCGGAGAATTGTGAGCGCTGTGGGGGTTCTGCTCAACCGCATAAGCCATGGACATCGGGCCCTGGTTGTGGTGGTGACCCGGCGGCGCTGGGTGAGGCGGGTGAGGCGGCGGCGGCGGAATCGTGGGACCGGTCATGCTGGGTGTGCTCGAGAAGCTGCTGGACGCCACTCTCGGTTCGTTGAAGAGCTCCCTCTCGATGTGCTCCAGGATGTGCATGTCGATCGTCAGGGCACTGGAAGATTGGGCGTGCATGTTGAACATTGCGATGGTCCGCCTAAATAGCTCCTGTAGCTGCGACCGCTCAATGAGGCGAGTCAGATAAGGGTCCCTGTAGGCGGCTGCCAAGATCAGGAGGTTGCCCCATTGCCTGCGAGAATGGGTCAGCACCACTGTATTCTTTCCCAAAGTCCAGCTCACTTACGCATGTGCTGTGCCAAAGATGTTGGTCACAAGGAGTCGCTTGTTGTCTACACCGTGGAAGGCCCGAGTGCTCTGGATGAGTGCCTTGATGCCCCTTTCGGCCCACGCCTTTACTTCCGGGTCGAGCTCGTCGTGTCCGCGGATACCGTGAGAGCCATGCCCCACGAGTGCCGTTGCGTCGTTAGGGTTGAAGACACCGATGGCACCCATGTTCTCCTTGTTCAAAATGCCCGAGTCGTCGGAGCGTTGCTTGAGCTTCTCGGAGACCTCCAGGATGAACCTGATGAAGGGCCGGTAGATGATGACTCGAGCGCCCCAGTATTTGGCACGCAGTCTCGCATCCAGCAGGTCGGTCGCTGGAGGGTCTTCCTCATTGAACCTGAAGTCGTTTGAAACCCACGTCATGCTTCGCAGTTGTTGCTCTAACGCCATCACCTTTCTCATCTTCTCGTACACGCTAACGTGCTGCTCCTTGGGGTCGTACAGCAGATTGTGGATCGTGTTAAGCGTCTTGCGCAGGTAGAGCTGCCCAATGTAAGAATCCCGGACCCTGACCGAAAAGCCGTCGTCCATGAGCTTCATATTAGGCCAGGGCATCTGTTCCTCGTAGTCCTGGCATCTAGATCGTGGGAGTTCTAGTTCCGCAATAATATCACTGCAAGTATTTAGCAAACATCTCGGGGCCGACAGATCAGGCACCACCTACTTTTCCAACTGCAGGCAGCTCCAGAATGCGAGAAGAACCGAGTTGTCTCGCTTCCTCTCGGGGAGGTTATACACCCCCATCTTGAAGAAGCGACTCATGTCACTGCGTTCTCGTTAGCATTTTTCACGACAGACACCGACTCTCGAGGACTGCTCACCGGCGCATGATCATGTTCAAAGCTCGAGCGGCGTTGAAGAACATGGCATCGCTCTCTAGGACTCGGCCCAACTGGCCATAGTACAGACCGGCAAAGATGAATGTCTGCGCGTGCTTTATGGTCCATCCGGCCATGTGGTTGCCCATGATATCGGAAGCATAGGCAAAATACTCCAGGCCAGGGATGATGTCGTAATTGCGCCTCAGTGAGTGGCCTGTCTTGAGAACGCCGCTGCCCTGCATCGACTGACGCCGGCTCGGGAGGCCGTTGGCCTGCTCCTTGGGCGAAGGCAGCCCCGAGGATTGGGAGTGCGCAGAATAGGAAGGGGGCGATGCCTGTGTGCCGGGAGAGGACGGGTAGCCATTTCTGTTTGCCGGGGAGTTGTGGTTGTGCTCGGGCGTGTCTCGCGGTAGGTCTGGGATCTTGGACTCATGCTGGCAGATTTTGCCGAGAGCGAGAATGACAAGGACGAGGGCGTTCTCAATAGTTCTGTGCGGTCTGCCGGGCTTCCTGGGTAGTGGAGCAGGCTCGTCGGGCTGGTCGCCTGCTGGCGAACGCTTCCGCTTGTTGGACATCTCGGGGTAGCTCGTTGGCGGCACGAACTTGGCCACGCCGGGGGCTTGAGGCTTCGTCTTCTTCTCGGTCTGTGCTAGGCTGTCCAGGAAGCGCTTGACCAAGCTCCTTAAGTCGCCAAGAGGAAGAATGGGATGCAAGCTCAGAATGTGTTTCTCAAAGCTGTGCACATACGACTTGACCGTTTCTTCGGCGAAATCTGGATGGCCGTCGCCCACAAGGGTCCTGCTGGTATATCCCACATTCAAGGGCGGACTCCAGCCCCCAACTTGACCCCATGCATCACCCGGCGAGGGTGAGTTGCCAGTCTCGGAAAAACTGTCCTCGATTGCGTCGACGGTCCCATATGCCTCGGCCGCGCTGCTTCGCTCGTATGTGGAAGCGGCGCCAGTGGCAGCAGCGGAAGGAGTGCGCTCCTGGCCACTGCCTTCACCGCGTCCGTATAGACGTAAGACTCCCCGCTTCTCCTCTTGAGCGATGGGGTACTCTTGAGGGTACTTAACCCCCTCTCTTTCCAGGATTCCCTCGGTCAGCTCCTTGATTCCCGGCCACGACAACAACATATCGGCTCTGGTAGTGTGATTTGCGGGAATCGAAGGAGCGCCCGGGGCCACGGGTTCTCCCGGCGGCAACTGTTCCTCGGCTTCCATATCGGCGTCGTGCATCTGCTGGGCCAAGTCGGTCTCACCAACAGCCATAGGATGCGGCTCTTCCATTTCTACTTCGTTCGGGGGATAACTGTCGACAGGCGGCGCGGCGGCAATCGGTGAAGGCGACTTGACAATCGATTTTTGAACCGGGGAGAGGTCTGCCGACAGCGGCTCATTTTCCATTTTGATGTTGTGGAACTTGAGCGTCGTCTCCATCTTCTTCATCCATTTTTGCTGCTCGAGGATCTGCGCTTCGAACTTGGCCTCCATCGCCGTCTTCATCTCGGAAATCGCCTCCAGGATGTCGGTCTGTCCTTTGTCGATACTGTTTACACTATCAGCAAGATACGTTAGGCGCGGGAGGGGAGGCAAACTCGACTGACGCCTTTGGAATGGGATCGCGGTATTTACACTCGACTCCCTTTTCTCTACAGCTCTTGCAAGGCTTGGTTTCATCACATTTCGCCTTGAGTTGCCGACAACTATCGCAAGCCTACAGCACACGAGGGGGTTAGCGCGCTGACAGGCCATGGAGGGCAGCCCATGAGAACCGGGCTGCACATACCTGAGAGGCTCGTGTTGCCTTGCGCTTCGCAGTCGACGAGTATTGGATGTTGTTGTAGATGGACTCCTGTGGAGCCTGAAACTGAGGCGGTTGCTCGTAGTGTTGTGGAGGAGGAGGAGGCGGCGGCGGCGCCTGGACCATGGGAGGAGGGGGGAAACTGCCTCGGTAGCCCCCCGGCGTCGGGGGCATCTGCTGGGGCCCGTTATCGTAGCTCATGTGTCGTCGAGAGTCGTCTGGATAGGGCTGATGAGATGGGTGAGGGGGCGCAGGGTGCGGCGGAGGTAGACCGTCCGCTGGCCCGCCTCCCGTCGAGTGCGGCCGTCGTGGATGGGCGAGGTTCTCTTCGTGCGGCTCTCTCTTCACGCCGCCGGGGTCTCGGCCGGGATACGGTGGGTAGTGAGGGTGAGCAGGCGAGGCTGGGTGTCGGTAGTGATCCTGCATCGGCGCGTACGGAGGCTCTTGCTCATGGTGTCTTCGATCATCAAGGTGATGGTGTTGCGGCGCGGCGTGGGAAGGATGGTGAGGCTCGACAGAACGAGGAGGGTACGGCGGCTGCGACTGATGGTTATAGGACGCGGGCTGGGCTGTATGGTGAGGCGGGAGGGTATGGGCCTGGTGCGGCGTCGAGGGGTGCGAGGAGGGCGGCGGCGGCGGCGGATGGTGTAGCGGTGGCAGTTGTTGATGTTGCGGACCGCCCGTTGGTGACCAAGAGTTAGTCGTCGAGAGACGGGGGCGCTTGTTGTCAGGCTGCCCCGGAGGATCCATGCTTGATATATATGTACATGCGTACAAATGCTAATGAACAAACAAGAGACGAAGCGAAAATAGGGTCAGGCCAGATCCGTGAGGTGGAGGGAGGAGGTGGCGGCCATGGAAAGCTATGGGCAACCGGGGAAGAGTCGCAAGTGCCAGTCCCGGTCCGGTCCAGTCGAGTGTCCGAGGGAGGTAAGGTACTAGGCCAGCGCAACGCACGGCGATGCAGATGGGAGTAGTGGACGGGGATGGGGAGAGGAAGAAGGGAAAGCGAGGAAAGGCGTTAGTGACAAGCAAGCAACCTGACAATCAATCGAGCAGGTAGCCTGTGTGAGTGAGGGAGGTGCGCGAAGTGAGAATGAGAGCCCAAGACGAAGGACGGGGAGGGCCAGGTCAGGCTGGGGGGTGTGTATGGTTTGACTTCTTGGACCCGGGGGGGGAGGGGGGCGACGGGAAGCAATCGGAGGTTCCCAGTGTTTGGACGAAAGCAAGGGACGGTGTCGAGTCTCGAGCAGTTCCTGTCCTAGCGAACGGTTGACGGTGGCGTAGGTAGGTGTACAGTACCGATACCGCAACGGCTAGATAGCGCGCAGGAGGTAGGCAGCAAGAAAGTGTATCTCTCTGTCTCTCTCTAGGTATGGCGCAAGTCGGTGTGAAAGCCAGACAGGGCAAAAAGGTACTTGTTGGTTGTGTCGGGGATCTAGGTATATCGAAGGTATGCCGTCGGGGGGCAAAAATGATAGTGCGAAGCGAGAGAGGCGGTTTGAGATGTTCCCGGCTCTGTGGTTCATGAAACTTGGGAGATGGGGTTTCCCACTCTGCGAATGCGCCCGGATGCCCAAAGGATATGCGGCAGAAAGGGAAGGATGGGAGGGGCGGAGATCAGCGCGTTGGGCAGAGATGGAGACTGGACAAATTTTCTTTCTTTCACTCTGCGAGTCTTGCCCTTTCTCGTGTACTCGGTTGCACTCGTTCAGGGTTGACGAGGATGAAGGCGCGAGCGAGGTGGGGGAAGGATCTCGGGTCCACGAGCGTGGGAGGGAGAGGAAGAGGGAAAAAAAATGAATGTGTAGAAGGCGTCGATTTCTCAAGCGGCGGCAGATGGAAGGGTGATGATGGAGTGAGTTCGCCATATACCTAACCTTGCTCACACCGCACAGAGAAACCAGATATGAGCGGGGCGGGGTACAGAATACAAGTATTCATGCGCGTCAGATGTGCTCAGAAAGGTAACGGGTACAGGTGCATCACAAGAGGCGTGCGGAGGTGTGTGTGGAGTGTAGGTATGGATCCCTAAAAAAGGTTGAAGGCAGAAACGGGCACCCACTACCTTTCGAAGGCGGTCTGTTCTGTCTATCTGTCTCTACTATCCGTACTAAGGAGGGGAAAGCTCTTAGGAGCTTGCAGTTTTTGGGGTGGGAGGGGGAGGGGGAGGGGGTGCGCACTGGCAAGTACATTCACCCCCGAGGGAAGTGATGGGCCAGTAAAAGAGTTAGTAACTGCAACTAGGTACAACAGCGACAGACGCACGGAGACGAGGACTTTGAGGTGGGTGTTCCCAGCCTAGGAAATCCAATCGACCCTGCCCAATCTCAAAGTCTCAACCCCATAGTAGTAGTATACAAGTATAAACGGGCAAGCATGCTGGTCAGGGGGGGGGGGGGGGGTGATGCTTGTGCGCAGAGATGGCTAGCGTAGAGCACCACACACTGAGATGGAGAACGCGAAAGCTAGCAAGAAAACCAGAAAGAAATGGAAAGGTTGGTAGAGAGAGAAAGAAAGAAAGAAAAAAAAAGAGTACTAGAAGAAAAAGAAATAAACCAAAACAAATGCTGCGGCGGCGGCGACTCTCTGAGATTTGGGAGGAGGTCAGGACGAGAGACCTCGGTCGTGTAGTGTACATGTGAGTACATGGTGAAGTATCCAAGTTGCTTAAGAGTTTTTGCGGCGCCGCTGGGAAGAAGAAGAAGAAGAGAAAGAGGGTAAAGGGGGGCGTGTGAGGGGCGTGTGTACGTACCTGGTAGGAAGTCGACATCGCCGCCGTTTCTTCCACCACGCGCGCCGCCCACCCTTACCTCCTGCGAGAGAAAAAAGAAAAAAGAAGAAAAGGAAAAAAGAAAAAAGAAAAAAAAAAAGGACTGCCAGCGAGAAAGAGGACCCCAGCCAAGGAGCAGAAAGTCAGTCCGTGCATACGTTCCTGGCCAAGAAGGACCGGGGAGGGGCGTGCGAGTTATGGGAGGAGCGATGCTTGCCGCTAGGCATTTCTTCCTTCTTATCCTTCTCCTCCTGCTCCTTCCTTCGGCTCAAGCATTATACACACGCCTGTCTGTGCCATGCGTGATGCACCTGTGGGTACGTACCCGACTCATTCGTGTGTAGGTACAGGGATACCGCTTGTATCTCGACGCGAAATGTACGTACTTGCCTGTCCAGAGTACGGATACCGGCTGTACAATCATAGGTACGTACTCACACTGCCGTCACGGGACGTCTGTCTCGATGCTTGGGGAAAGTCGGACGTCCACCACTAGGCTGGAATTCGACTGCGTCTTGCGGCGTCCTTCCTACCTACCCAAATACTTTACTGTCCATCCATGTTGCATCTGCCTGAGTGGCGTACCTGGACTGTGACATATTCCGTTTGTCAGACACACATCCCCACACATACGCGCGCACACAGTTTCTGGCGCAGACACCAGAATGACACACTCGCACACACATACTATGAGTAGGCCTGCACACACAGAGCAAACTAGCACTACTACTAGTATACCTCCGAGAAAAGTTGACAGATAGTCAGGGATAGGGCGGTGACCAGCGCGCTGACCGACTCGGGCTATTCTCCATTCCCGACGACACCGCCGCCCCATGCGGACCGACCTCCCCCCCCCCACCATAATAGCTTCTCTGCTCTTAATTGCGAGCCGGCGCAGTCAGTCGTCCAAGGCCGGTGAACCTAGCAAGCAGTTCCTTCTGGTCGGTTCCCCGAGGCCACAATGCCAGCTCGGACGGGACGCGCCGCCCGAAGCTGTCGGAACAAAAGGGGGGGGTGGGCTTGGGGAAAAGCATCAAGACAAGACAAGGCAAAGATAGCATCCGCGACTCATGGGATGGACGGCCGAAATCTTTTGGCCACGGACGGGAGCCATCGTGCCTGCCGCTGTTCCTGCCCCGACCAGCCTATCCCAGCCATCGTTCTCCTATTCTCCCTTCCCCTCTTCAGCCTCGCCTCTATTTGCCCGCCGCAGAGTCACAAAAGAGGCGGGAAGAGACGATACATCGTACAAGTCATGCAACGGCGCATTTTGTCTGGATCATGTCCCATTCCATGCCGCGCTCCGGGCCAGATGACTGGGGATCAGCGGTCACGGGATCCGGGAAGGGGAAATTTGCTTTCTGGCTGGAGGAATGGGCGATGCCCCCCCGCTTTTCCGGGGGGGCTCAACTCCGCCGTCTACGTATCCGTACACTGGGTATTACCTACTATACTATGTAAACCAGGTACCTTGCCCCTCTTCCTTGTTCTTTTGGCCATTACGTCGTGGGGTGGTTCTCTGCCTGAGACGAGGACGGTGAGCGGGACGGTGTACGATGTACGTCGTAATGTGCCATGCGGTGAGTGAGGCTTGGTTGTGTGTTGGCGGTGTCTTGTTGCGAGTCACACCCCCCCGGGAGGAGACGACGAGGTACCTGCTCCAGAGTCGATTCTCGACACAGTAGTGTCCGTACTCGGTGCTGTTATATTCAGTCTAGATATGTCTCTCTGGAGAGGGGGGGGGGGGAGGGTCGAATTCTGTTTTGGTTTCCGAACTTCCCGAGCCCTCGGTAGCCAACGCGCAGGGGATGCGACGCCAATGCGATCCCATCTCTTTTGTGAGAGACAATGAATGGGCGGCGGAACGCAGCGCATCCTCCCTGCAGAAATGATTGTCCGGTACACTCGGCTCGTCACTTGACCGCTGGCTTGCGCCGGCGCAACTCTAACTCTTACTCTTTTTTGGCAGATGGGATCCGGATTGGATGCGGGCCGGTTCACGTAGGCAGGCATCGCGCGCGCGCGCGCGCACCCAGGCGGTCCCGGTTTGCCTCAGCTCAAGGATTCACTGAGGCCCTGTGTGCTCGAGTCGTGAAGAAATGCAAGCGCCCGCCGTGACGTAGGGGAGTGTCTCGCTCGGGTTCTTTTTCGCTTCCGTACGCATGTTCCTAATAAACCCTCTGTCCGGCCATCGATGCCCGAACCGAGGGTCGCGGACCAGCAATGTTACAGGAGAGGGCGGAATTCCATGGGCATGAAAGCGGAAGATGCACAGGGCCATGCTGCGTTAACGGTATAGTTTATTTGCTACGCAGATTGATTGGTAGAGAGAAAGACTGTGTGTGTGTTAGAAAGAGAGAGAGAGAGAGGGGAGGGGGGGGGAGTGAGTGAGATGGCCCGAGGTCACCTCATCACCCCGGGAGACTTGCGTCCCGTTGCATTGAAAGATTTAATATGCACAAAGGATGATGAGGCATCGCGGGGCTCCTTGACGGACAACAATACCTATACAAGACCCGTAGACGCGGGACGAAGCCCGAGGGGCCTGGTGCTGGAAAACACGGGGTTACACGAGCGGGCGGCGGTATCCATATACTCGGTGCCCTGGTATCTATCTCACTGATGCCCAACCGGCGGTGATACTTGGCATGGCAGAGTCTAAATCAAGTCGGGGCCAAAAGAGAGATTGGGAGAGAGAGAGAGAGAGAGAGAGAGAGAGAGAGATAGGGAGAAGGAATAGAAGCATGCGCGCCAACTCCACGGCGCCGGTCCAGAGGACCGGTACCTGGAAAGGATTTGGCTCAGAGGGGCACGGGGACTCGGGGCGCCATGAGGGACCCGCTCTACTTAAAGTCAACAGGGGTGACCCCTTCAGCGGGCGTAGCAGGAGAGAGAGAGCAACAGCAGCACTCCTCCCTACTCTCTCTCTCTCTCTCTACACTATCTGTACCCAAGTCTGTAGCTTCTGCTATGCTTG